CTGGACATCTCTGCTCGACTCACTGTGTTCAAAAAAGGAGAGAGGTCCCGTTGGATGGCCTCCACTTTAAATTTTAAAAAGGCTGCAAACTGGTCAAGTGAAAACTAGGGGAGGCCTATCATCCAGACCAGTTCCGGATAGGTCACGCACTATACGGAATAACTCCGCCTGCTGGTTGGACTCTTCGCTTATCCAGTTAGCGAAGTAAGTTTGACAAGCAGCCTTTACCTTAGACAGGTAAAGGTTAGTTGCGACCCTGACAGCTATCCTATTATAATCCGTCGGGTTCTTCCTCCACCTACGCTCTAGCCTTCTCCTATGTCACTTCAGCACTCGAAGCTCCTGGTTAAACCAGGGCACTGGCCGAGCTCTACGACAGAGAGGGCGTTTAGGCGCGATCATGTCTACAGCCCTGGTTGCGAAGGTGGACCACCTATCAACCAGAGCGTCAACAGGAGCGCTAGCCAGGTCCGCCGTGACCCCTCTTATGACATCCTGGAATCCAGCAGGATCCAGTAGCCTTCGAGGGCGGACCATAGAAATAGGTCCCTGCTCAATGCGAGGGGCGAGAGCCACTGTGAGGTTACATTTTATCATGTGGTGATCTGACCATGACAAGGGGACCGACACGAGGTCAGTCACCATCAGACCACACTCACTCCAACTGGTGGAAAAAACCAGGTCCGTTGGGACCGCTGACATGTTGGGACATGTTCAAGCAAGCCATGGTTTCCAGGAACTCAAAAGCTGGCCCAGTAGCCTCTGCCACCGCATGCACGTTGAAATCACCCAAGACCAAAGCCTCGGGGATCCCAACAATGCCACGGAGACAAAGTCGGCCAGCTCCGGAACCGAAGTGGCTGGGTCGCGGAAAGCGCGGTAACCCAGCAAAATCCCAATAACATCCCTGGCCCCAATCGACACGTGGAGTGCCTCTAGACCTGGCTTTACCACCGAGGAGTGCCTAGTAACCTCCGAGCTGGATTTATAAACAATGGCTACTCCCCCCCCGGCCCTCCAGTCTACCCTGGTGTTGAATGGCATAACCAGGCGGACAGACAAGAGCCAGGGAAGGACCCCCCTCTCCTCCAATCCACGTCTCAGTTATGCATGCCAGGTCTGCATCCACCTCCAGGATAAGATCATGAATCACCTGGGGCTTGTTGGATATAGTCAAAGTCCTTGGCTTGGGAGGGGGGCAGGGTTGGACTACAACCCAGTATTTCAACCAACAGCAGTATGTGAACTCAAAGAGGTAACTCATCCCATCTTTCCTTCAAAGTCCTTGGCTTGGGAGAGGGGCAGGGTTGGACTACAACCCAGTATTCCAACCAACAGCAGTATGTGAACTATAGCTCAAAGAGGTAACTCATCCCATCTTTCCTCCAAACAATCAACTGCCTCACTGGTAAGAAGAAATCAGGAATCAGCTTCTCTGTAAGCAGCCTCTTAATAAAATTAGTTTGTACTTAAATGACTTCTAATGTAAAGGAGTAAGATAAATTTATTAACAACCCAAGGATAATCTTGTATACAGCTCCACAAAGTAAATTCATGATTAAAGTAACCAGCTTTTGCACAGCGGCATTAGCTTACCAGTGACAAATTGCACCATTAAAATTTTATAATGATTATCTTATGAAATTTCTACTTTTAAGAGTTAATCATATGCAGTGTATATTTAAGATGTATTTAATAATTCCCATTATTACATAATTCTATTATTAATCATCCATCCTCACCTTAGCACTTCTGATGTGCTGTGACACCTTCTCAAAGTTCCTGTTCAATTCAGCTAACTTGGGCTCTACAAGCTCACGACAAGACACGCCACGACTATTCATCAGGGTAATAGCTTGGTCACGGACATTATCAACTCTGAGACTAACATCATCCAACTCTGATGTTAAACGCTGAGAAGATGAAAAAAGAAAGCAGCACAGGCTTAGCATTTTGTTCAAAGCAAGATTAAACAGGAAGGAGTGTGGCATGAGGGAAATCAACCAAGACATTTGGCAAAGTTTTCTTTGGATCCAAAATATATTATTACTATACAAAATATGTCAGCAAGAGATTAGGCTTGCCACCTTCACTGTTTCCTCTTTCTTGCTGGCTGATTTCTTCTCAATCTCATCCAGCAAGGCTTCAGCTTGGTACAGCCAAGTGCTTATGTGCGCAACAGTTTCGTCAAAAATCTCCAACTGACTTTGGTGATTCTGAAAAGCAAATGCAAAGATAAATCAATGAAAAACACCCAGAGCAATAAAATGAAAATGGTCCAGCTATTTTAACAGAAAATACTTAGCAGCATTCAGTCATCACATTTATTTGAATTTTTTGGCTCACTCAGTACACAGCCTCTGAATAAATTAATACACTGAAGCCAAAAATAAAATTAAACTGAAACACAGAACACATTAAGCTTATGCCCTATCCCACTGTTTATTGACTCTTGTTTCTGTATCTCTGATACAGGAGCGCTATCAGCCCAAGATGCTTTGCCACCTGAGGCAAAAGACAAGACGGCACTCCTACCACCATCAAGCAAACTGAACTAGCAGGTGAATCTTACTTCAGCAGTGGGAACTGCTGGGGAGTGTGGGATGTACCATGTGGCATTTAAAACTCCATCACCCAATAGAACAGAATGGCTGGAAGACCACTGCTGCCACCCTGCAATATCTGCCATCCTACGTGGATGGATGAACATGTTCATATGTTCAAACATATAAACGGTCTTTAATAGAACCAGAATCTGGTGCCAGGTCTAGGATTTTTGGTTTTGAGAACCACCAATAGATAAGGTTAAAACTTGGTGCCCAACATGAAGCTGCCTATGAAGACAATTCAGAAGCTGCATCCCAAGTGGTGGCAAGTAACATTGGTAGAATGTCTATTAGCTTAGTTCTAAAGGATCTGCAATGTTTGTTGATTTGCTCTGGAGTAAATTCAAAGTGCTGATATTTGCTCTGAATGACTCAAGTTCCAAAAACCCATAGAACACCTCTGACCCTGTTAAGTCCCACCATCAATAACCTCATCCTGGCAAGTTTAGCAAGATAACAACATCTTAAAAGGGTTTCATTGTTGCGATCCCTGACTCACTCCACCACCACCCTGAGGTACATCTGGATGTTTCAGTGTCCCTAACCAAAAAAAATAAAAAGCCTACTAGAATGGTTCTTTGGATCTTGACCTTACATTATTCCTGAGTTGTTTGTTTGTTTGTTTAAAATATTTTTACCCTGCCTTTCTCCTTGAAAAGTACCCAAGGTAATCTACAATAATGAAAGACAATATTTAAAATTGAAAACAATAAGTATACAACAGTGGTTAACATCATTAAAAAACAACATTTAAAACTACGAACAACGGTGGTTAACATCATTAAAAAACAACATTTTAAACTAAAAACAACGGTGTTTAACATCATTAAAAGACAATATTTAAAACCAGAAACAATGAATAAAGAGGCATCATACATCATTAACCTGCAATATTATGGCAAAGATCAATAAGTATACAATGTTTTTAAATGTTACTCTGAGAAATGGAAAATACAAGTAGTACTAAAAATCCAATCAAAGTAGTAATGCATAGCAAACTATCTAAAAATCACACACAGATAGCTGGTTACTGAGAGAAGGCTTCCCTGAATAGAAAGGTCTTTGCCTGCTTGCGGAAGGATAGCAATAATAGGGTCAGTCTGGACTCCTGTGGGAGGAAATTCGAAAGTCTGGGATCACCAACAGTGAAGACTCATTCCAGTGTCCCCATCAGACAGACCTGTGGAGGTGGTGGGATCAAGAGGAAAGCCTCTCCTACTTAGCTTAACACCCGAGCCGGTTCACAATGGGAGATGGCTTGGACCCAGGTCATTTAAGGCTTTGTGGGTTGAAAACATCACTTTGAATTGTGCCTGGTAACTGATGGGCAGCCAGTGTTTCTGATAGTTTATTATCAATGCTCAGATCCTCCTAAAAACTTCCAAACTGTCTAGAAATTCAAAGATCATTTCCAAACTACAGTGATGCCTTGACGTATGAATTCAATCCGTTCCAGAAGATGGTCATAACACAAAATGGTCATAAGCTGAAGCACCATTTCCCATAGGAATTCACTGAAACGTGATTAACCTGTTCTGCCTGGATTAGAGTGATGTAAAAAAAAAAAAACCCTGCAGGACCCATCGGAAACTCAAGTAATCCATTCCAGCCGAAGGCGCTAAAACCCAAAAAGCAAATAAACCCTGCAAGACTCATCAGAAATGGAGGGGGGGGACCCAAAAAGCAAACAAACCCTGCAAGACCCATCAGGAATGGAGGGAAAACCCCCAAAAAGCAAACAAACTCTGCAAGACCCATTGGAAACACGGAAAAAGCAAACAAAACAAACAAAGACTGCAAGACCCATCACAGCACAAAAACATAAACCCCCAGCCCAAAACCATGCTGCAAAACCCACCCGGAACAGGCAGTTTTTAAAAAGCAGAAAGCAGCATCTTATCAAGCCTCCTCCGATGCACACTCTCTAACCGCTGGAGCGAAAGAGCTACAAAGAAGCAGCTTCTTCGACACCAACAGTTAGCAGTTTGAATTGCCCACCTTTTTCCCTGCCTTTTTTCTGATCTTAACTCAAAGCTCTGGTCACAAATCGAAGCAAAATTTTGCAGCCAGAGCTGATCGTAACTTGAGTTGGTCGTAAGTCGGGACGTTCATAAGTCAAGGCACCACTGCACTGTGCCAGTATCAGAACCTGTAACCATATATGAGAATTTGGGGCAGGGTTTTGGGATTGTGCCATGTCTTGTATTTTGAGACTGCGACATCCTTAACAATGGTTGAGACTTATATCTGCATTAATTTTACTAACTCAAAGTTAAGGAGGGTTTTTTTTGTCATATAAAAGTTTCTGACATGTGCGTGTGCGTTAAAAAAAGCCAGTGCAAACAATGGAAAAGACCAATAATTACGATTAGTACATCTATGGCAGAAATTAAAACTCAAAAGTTGAGCTAAGTCACCACCATAATTCTCTACCGCTAGGCTGACAATAGAATTAAAATGATATACTGTATATCAGCATCTTGTGTTTATATAGTTTCAATACTGTAGTGACTGAGTAATTTGGAATATGCCTCCACTAGATGTGCTGAGAAGCTGGAGAGTGGGGCTCTATCCTCAAAAGTATTGCTACATTTTCTGACGTTCCAACTGGTGAGACCACCATAATAAGTACATCCTGTCTCAAAGTAATACTTTTGGAAACCTGAGTATCAGACAGATAACATCAAATACAACTTCAACACTGCCATTATTTGCCATTCTCATTTACAGCTCACCAGAAGTGTGTTGCACCAATCTTCTGTCCAAGTCCGGACTCTACTCCAGCCAGCATTAAGAACACAGAGCTTTTCTTCCAGAATAATCTCACTCCCATCCACTAAGGTCTGAAGTGCTGCACTGCTCTCTGTTACGCTGTTAAGATCAACCTTCTTCCTTTCCAGTTCTCTCAGCACATTCTAAAAGGCAACAGAAGCTATGAAGAACATGGCACCAAATTTCTCAAAATTGCAAATATAAGGATAGTATTGAATTATTCCCAATGTATGCCTCAGCTTCCAAACAGAGCAGCTTATCTTTTCATGTGACATTAACCAGTTACCAGCAATCTGACTATATGCTAATCCAAATCCCGAACAGTTAAATATTGTAACATTAAAGAGGACCTTGGTGATCACCTTCTTTGATGAATGCAGATTTTCAAAAAAGTGTCATCATTGGTCTAAATCTGCTACAGGAAAAGGGAACTGGAGTCTTGAAAAGTTATTAGAGCCAATGACAGCCAAACTGTGAACACCTAAAGAACATACAGGCCTGTTTGGAAGTGTGGCATCTGCTGCTGAACTGTAATCAACACCCCTCCTCTTTTGCCTGACTTTTTCTGACAAGATTTGAGTTAAATCAATTTGCTTTGAACCATGATTTAAATTGGAAAAATCAGACATTTTTATGATTTAAATTAAAAAAAATTGTCATTCATCAATTATTTTACTTCAGTAAATAACACAGAAGGTATTTCTATGATTTCACAGTTTAATGAATACAGCTGTTGGATTTGCTGATGGCTCCCCTTCATACTTTCAGATTATACAGTTAGCAATTCATATATACATCCCACTATGTCTTCATCACAAAGAAATTACATTATTCTATTTTTAAAATCAGTACATAATATACAGCAGACCTCCATGTTAGGCTAATTACTTTTCACCCTAAGCTATTTAGGTAAATATTTTACTAACTATGACATTTGTTAGCATAGCAACCAATAATTAAAACAAGGAATTAAAAAACAACTGTATAACTTAATGGGGGAAAACACTATACTGAGTAGTATATCTAATGTGCTATGTATTTTTGAATGGTGCAATTCAGCTGTTTTGAGAAACAAGAACCATAAAACATATACTGAAATGCAAATATTAATTTCTTATATTGTAACTAGTGGACTTGTAGTAGTGCAGTGGTAAAATCCTCTGCTACAGGTTCTATAGACTATAGATCTAACAGCTAATCCATCAACATTTAAACAATAAATCTCCATCTAAAACTATTGAATGACCCACAAGTTCTGTGTGTGGTATTATTATCTCCATTGTACTCTAGTACAGTAGAGGATAAACATTAAATAGCAGCCACAATAATCATGTGCCATGTGTAACAGCTTTTGGAACCTGACACAGGGAAAGGAATGCCAAATATTCTAAATGCTAGCTCCTAGTTACATTTGCCAAACCATAAATGCTTTTATACAATTGACTGCCATCTGCTGAGAAAACTAAGGTCTGTTCCAAAATCATGCTTCAAAATATACATCAACTTTTTCCCTGGTATCTCAGTATAGACAAACCAGGAACAAACCACGGTAGTCGGTGCCATGTATACGTATTATGGTTTTCTCATTTGGTGTACAATTGCCCCTAGATATCTCTAATTGTGATAAGGTGAACAGAAAGGAAGACAACTACATTCTTTGCAGAATTTCATACATGCCTGTATGATATTCCAACACTGAAGATAGTAGTATTTTTAATCTCAGTATAGACAAACCAGGAACAAACCACGGTAGTCGGTGCCATGTATACGTATTATGGTTTTCTCATTTGGTGTACAATTGCCCCTAGATATCTCTAATTGTGATAAGGTGAACAGAAAGGAAGACAACTACATTCTTTGCAGAATTTCATACATGCCTGTATGATATTCCAACACTGAAGATAGTAGTATTTTTATTTTTTCTCTTAATTTGCAAGTGAAGTCAAGAGACTTGGTCATTTTACTTAGTTTTAAAATGCCTTATGCTTTCCTGTCTTCTTCATTAAAATACTGCTCTTTATTTTATATTAAAAGGGCTTGGAGAAGGCAGCAGTTACGAAGGCCCATTTCCCCCCAAACGTGGCTCCAAGGTTGAAATGTAGAAGACTTTCTATGCATTCATTTAATAAGTCATAAATCATGATAGGATATAAAGAAACAGTAGCAAGATGTGTAGTTTAGTTTACCTTAGCCCATGCAATTTCAGTGTCCAGATCAGAAAGCAATCTCTCCGAAGTGGACTTCTGTACCAACTCAGCCTCAGTAGCCTCCAGCCATTTCGACAAAGACAGGGAGACTTCCTTGAGTTTACATGATAGCTGTAGTGCCTGCTCCAGATCTTGCTTCCCTTCTGTGACCTGAATAAAGAACCCAATGTGTATAAACAGATATAGAAATTGCCATTTCAAGAACAAAGGCTAGGTAACAACAATGAAAGCTGTTGACAGTATCCATGTGACATTATGAACAAAATAACCAAGACGCACTTTCCACTCTTACTGCTGCTATGGTAGACTCTGCCCATCAGAGAAGCTCAGGTAAGTCTCTGATATAACAATCAGAATGGCAGGTATACTCAAAAAGGAGGAAAAGGCCCTTCAGATAGCAAGACCTACATCATTTAGGTCTTTATAAGTAACAAAAAGACCTTAATTTGTGCCTGGAAATGAATCAGAAGCCAATGCAACTTACATAGCATCCAATTAATTACTTGAAATTTATAGGTCATCAGTTGGAATTCATTTTATACAGCAAAACAAAAACACAAACAAAAAAATTCATTGACAAAAGTAAAACAACCCTCACCTGAGCACCCAAATCATTATAAAGAAATTTCAGTGCTGTTAATTGCTCATCCATGCTCTTTGGGTTATCAGTTTGCTGTTTTTGTACAATCTGTCTTCCTGTTTTGATTACTGTTTCCACTTCAAGTTTTACTTCACTGAGGGTCTTGTAGAGTTTCTAGAACCAGAACAACATACATTTCGTCATCACTTACACCCTTACATGGTACACTATTACTCTCCCAACAGTTATCAGGATTTCTGATTTGGTGAGTCAGCTACTCAGTAAGTCCCATTGATTCACAAAAACCTGCTCTAGAGCACTTTACTACACCATGCCACAGGATTTCAGCCTTTATGTTATATTACATCTGAACGTTTGCTTAAACAGATAAAAAAATGACAGGTCAATTCAAATATCAAAACCAAATCGTATTATCTCATAACTAATGAGTTACATGTTTGCAAGCTCATTCTTCTCTACACCCCTCATACAAAGCAAATTGAATTCATTCAAATTAACTGCAAGCCAAAATGCTGCTGAATTTTTACACCACTTAACATATTTGGCTTAAATCTGAGTAGTGAACCTCTGAGTAGTGAATCGTTAAGAAGCAAATTTAAGCATTTACTATTACACAGTGAGATGCGAGATTCAGCGCACAATGGCTAATATCTATACCGACTTCTTAATTTGGGGCAAATACTTATGCCAATTGTGTCACGTTAGCAAGAATTTTTATTGCACAAACCATGAGAAGGCCTAGCTAGATTTGGTATAACTATTACCCCTTGTTTAAAGACCATAACTTGCCTACGTTGGGCAGAAAAGAGATACCTATCACATGGACATCATGACAAACTATAATTACCATGAACCCAGAATGGTTAAATGGATTTGACATGTTGAAGGGCAGACAATAAGGGAGAGAAAGGCAGATCTGCCACATTTTCCCAAAAAACTAGCAAAGATACTGTTCTGAGGTCTGAACTACACAGAAAACAAGATACAATTTTATCATACTGTGTTAAGAACTGGGATAATTATTTCAGTTTTAATATTGAAGAGGACAATATAAATATTATATCATGTTTTAGTTACATCACACATTCCAAAAGATGCCAAATTTCTCTGCAGGCACTATTAAAGGTGTGTATTAGACCTTCCTTTGGAGCACAGATTATTCTAGTTATGTAGGCAGAAGCAACATTCTCTCTATAATGATGGCTGAAATCCTGTTGGCCAGGTTCTGCCTGTGCAACAGGAATGCAGGCAGCAACAGCAGCAGAGTGCCACTCTTTCAAAGATTCCACCCATATACAATGCAATAAAGTTGCGTACACGCCAAAATCAAAAAAAGAAGACTTAGTCAATGGAAATCCGCTGCTGTCACCACCACTGCAGAGGCCAACCTCATCCAACACAATTTTGATTTCTCGTTTTATCCAGGCTTTCAGCCAGTTTTGTTGATACACTCTTCCAGGCCATGGTTGTAATAATTTCAGCTGTGACACAGAAGCAAACACCCTTAAAGATTTATAACCCATGGGGGGAGGGATATACAGGCCAGTGAAATGTGAGGAAGTCCAGTCATAACGTGATATTACCATGCACTTATCGAAGTGAGACTGAATTACTTCTGGTTCAATGTCCTTCATCTCCAAGACATGGAGTTCAGCCTTTACACTATCAAGAACACGTTTACAATCCAGCATACGCTGCTCAAAATTTGCTGGTTTCTGGAAGAGCTGATACTTTGTAGACACCTCCCGGAGCTTTCGCTGTATGTATAAGAACACAAAATATTTGAAGTTTTGATGAAACAAATAAATACAACTAAGAGAAATCAAAGCTTCTCTTCCTATGAGTCATCAATTGTTTCTTCTTTCCCCCTGTATCTCTTGGTGACTATCTTCTTGCCCTTGACTAACCTCAGTGCCTCTTCCGTCTTTTGGTTGAAATTTCATGGGTCATTATTTCTCTTCTCCATCCTCTCCTTAAGTTTGAGGCACTGGAAAAATGACACTGACTGCGGGAAAAACTGTGTGGCACTCTCCCAAAAAAGTTGTCCTCTGAGTACATCACAGCAAAAACAATTTTGCAGCCACCCTAAAATTATTATTAGGGCATAATTAGAGCCCTTTGCATAGGGTGCATACAGTTTTTTCTCCTAACTTGGCAGGTATATATAATCCACATTTTTGATAGGGAGTATTGTGGAGTGTAAGCAGTTACTTTAGAGGGTATTAAAAGCAAAAACTACAAAATTTGTTAGTTACATGAATATTTAGAAGTGAAACTATTGAACAGTGAACATTCACAAAGTGGTATTATTGATGGCACTTTTTACTTTAATCTTTGCAATTTTAAGAATTCTAAATTAGGTACAATAAATATTTACATAATTAGATAAATGCACATTATTCAAATTTGTATCTTTATTTCTTCAGCTCTACCACCCTCAGAAGACTTTCTATTTTCTTTATCCTTTCCCTTGCCACCCTCTATGCTTGAAACTACAATCCCAGAACACATGCAGGATGTTGCCTTTCTTACTTCTTTCAAATTTGTCCTCAACCAACATTTTTCATGGAAACTCTGGCTCAGCCTACTAGTTCACCTGTGTTACTGCGACATGGCCAGCACATAGCTAGCAAAACCAATGATCAAGGATGATAGAAATCATGAGAGGCAACACGCTGCTTCTCCTTCTGCTACTGCCATTTAATTTGTAACTGACTGGAAGAGAATCACATTCTTTCCATTTTGCTTCCTTTCTCTGCTCCCCATTTCTTCATCTGTTTCTGACATTTTGACTGCCAGCATCTCAGGACAATCTAATTCCAGTAAGTGTAATAACAATATAAACAAATTAAGAAGGAAGAGGAGAAAAAGGAATTTATTTTACTACCCCACTTTAATGAGTGCTCACAACTCCCTACAGTATACAGTGAAGATTTTTCCATAACATGGTCATTATTCCTGCAAAAAGAACACCACATGCATTTTGAAATACTTCAATGCACAATTAATTTTTAAGCAACTGTTTCAGCTCACCCATTTTATTTTGTTCCTTAAATTTGCCCAAACTCAAGGAACACATTCAATCCAAGAGTAATTTAGAATACTGTTGACTCAATCCAAGTGGCAGGATTTAGTTTTTTTTTTCCCCTACCACAAATGCACTCTCTATTCATTTTTTTAAAAAAAAAATAAGTGTACTGAATTGTAGTAAACTTAGCAAAAACTAGAAATGGCAAATATCTACCTGTAAGGCATCCAGATGAGACCCACCACGAGGAGATCTGCATTCTGGGGAAGTTGGCATAAATGCTCGCACATTCTTCTTTAGCTCTTCCAAGGTGGATTCATGGGCAGCAATCTCAGTTTGAATTTTCTGCCAAGTCATTATAACAGAGGGGGGAAAATAGCACATGGCAGATATCAACCATATTAGCAATAAATCACACTAGAGGACTCTATTATGAATGCTACAATGTTTGCATCAGTCATGCTGGCTTTGAGGATAGGTCACTTTTTTCAAATCTATTAGGCCGAGCATTGTCAGCATTCCAACAGACCCTCTTGCATACATACACAGCTAAATTACACAGCACAGATTCCCTTCAAAAGCAATCTATATTCATTCTACAACTCAAAATCTTATGTATCAAAAACAAAATGAAAAAGACAAAAATTACTGGAAATACCTGTGCCTCCTGTGGTATTTGGAAGGCATCTATTCTGTCTGTCAAGTATGATGTTAGCTGCCTATCCAAATCCTTCAAGCTCTCCTGTAGGACTTGCAACATGTGGTCAGTTTCCCGCATCATCTGAAGCTGTTGTTCCAACGAAATCTGTCTGCTCACTGCCTAAAACGAGGAGGAACACAGTAAGTTGCAAAACTACTTCTGAGGTTCCACATGTCACTGGTCTGGCATATGAAATAAAATGAGAACCACAGACATGACTCTTTCTGTATTGATTGAGATTGTGGGTCATCCCACTGGAAAAAACTTAATTCAGAGATTCCTGACGTAGGAAATGCCACAAAACGGTGTGACTTCCCACACTGAAACCTCTCAATTAAATACATACAAGATACCATAAACTAAAAGCAAAGGAAAAATGAGCACATGTTTAACTCAACTGGGGGGGGGGGAGTGAGTCACAAAATCCCCATCACAGAACATGGACATATGGCCATCAATGATTATTGGCAGACACTGAGTCAGGGTCCTCTCCATAGGCAAGATATTCTGATATCCTGAGCACTGAGAAAAGTTTTACAACTCTTCCAAAGAGTTCTTTCTCCAAGACCAAGGATAAGTAGGGCTTTGAAACTCACTTCCACAAACATATCCATCATCAGTATATGACTTAATAGAGTAAAGCAATATGCAGTGAAAATAGGATTAGAACTGCAGGCTGCTACTTCAATATATGCAAGGAAAATCACTCATACAAAAGAATGGCTTTGGTTGTCACTGCAGTTCTACAAGATGTTATAAATTACTGTAAGATAGTACAATGCAGGCGTCTTCCCCATACAGTTGTGGAGCTTAGAAATCCTTGACCAGAGTTCACACATAAAGTTAAGATCACAAAATGTTTTAAGTAATGTCATATATAAAATAATCACAGTATAAATGAGTATATAAATGATAGAATTGAGTAATTTATACTCTTGGGGTGCAAAGGAAGAAAAATCAAAGGATGATTTGGGGCTTTCTAACAGTATCTTATTATACTACAATCCCCAATCTGGAGATTTAGTTGTAGTTTGTGAATTTTAGGACACACTGAGTTAACAAATACTATCACACTTTAAGTCTTCATGTATAGAATAGCATTTTCACCAACACTTAAGTTTATGGAAGCACTGCCACAAATTCATTACTACTTGCTTTAGATCAGTTGCCTTTATAATTAATGGCAATCACAATACTGTAGTTTAAAACTGCATCTCCAAAGTCTAAATGTTATGAAGAAGAATGGATGAAGTCCATCCATGACTCAACAACTCATTATCATTTGCTCTGGTATGCATAACCTCTCTGTTGCAGCCTGCCAGGTATGTGTGTGCTTGCCAATCAGGAATTCAGTCAGCCTTCCATTTTTGCTTTGTGCCCAGAGACTATCAAACACATTGCAGACCACCCTGCAAGGTCTGTCTACTCTTTGGCTTAGTAGATTAAAAGTCTAATTTTAATACAAAGCACTAACGATATCTGTCAGGCAGCGATAGCCATTCTAAGCATTGTTCTATGATATACACTGAGGATACACCTGACACTACTGAAAACGAATTATCTCTCCAACAAAAACATACAAATTCTTACCACATGGCTCAGCTGTTCATAGCATTCATTGAAAGCCTCCAGTTTCTCACTGATGATTTCATCAAGGATTCCTCCGTCAATCAAGGTTTGGCCAAGCTCCCTAATCTGAGTCCGATTATCAGCGGGATGGCGCAGAACAGATTCAAGTGACTAATGGGAGAAAAGAATGATTTATCTGAAGTTTAGGGTTTTTTTAAAGGTTCCCCTTGACATTTAGTCCTGTCACGTCCAACCCTAGGGCGCGGTGCTCATCCCCGTTTCCAAGCCTGAAGTACAATATGTCTAAATTGTTCCTCCAGCTGCTGCATACTTGAAGAAGTTCACAATAAAACCAAAATAACAAAATGCAGTAACTCCAAATAAAAACTAAGAAACACTTATAAATTACACATATCAGACATCAGTAAAGCATGTAGCATTCTAATTTCAAGGAGCAGCCTCAGTAAGTAAAACCTCAACAGAGCAGTAGAATTTTTATTAACTGTTTAATGAAAGATTCACACACACACACAAAAAGAGTTAAGTAAACCTGTTTGGGAAGGGAATTTTCAGCACTGTTGTGCAGAAGGTCCCACGTATTGTTCCCCTCACCTTTCTAGGGAAACAGGCTGCTCCTTTATCTGTGTCATTCATATGCCTTTGCAGTGCATCATATGCCTCTGCAGGAAGGCAACATGAAACACACACTCAGATGAAGAAAGTAGGTTCCAGGCAGATTCAATGAAAAGAAGCAGTCTCTCAGATACATCTAACTAGAGCTACTTTAAACAATAGATCAAAATGAGCACCTTGAATTGGGCTTAGAAACAAGTTGAAAACCAGTACATTTGATTCAAGAGCATGAAACATGATATTTCAGGACACACGACAGGGCCTTCTGCCACTTGCTGTTTAGCACTACCTATAGTTTTCTAATACATACTTTCCAAGCACATATTCACCTAGAGAATATTACAGTACAGTGGTGCCTCACATGACGATGTTCATTCGTTCCGCAAAAATTGCTGTTTTGCGAAAACATCGTCTTGCGAAATGCAGCTCCCCATTGGAATGCACTGAAATCCATTTAATGCATTCCAATGGGGGAAATAGTCATCGTCTTGCGAAAATCGGCCACAGAGAACTGTTTTGCGAAGTGCAGATCAGCTGTCAAAATCGTCATCTTGCGAAAAAATGGTCCCGAAAACATCCGTTTGGCAAAGTGCGGACCTGTTAAAATTGTCGTATTGCGAAAAATGGTCCCAAAAAAACCCCCCATCTTGCGAAACACGGACCGAAACATCATCCAGGGAAAATCGCCCATAGGAAAAACCGTTTTGTGTAGCGCTGTAGCAATTGCAAAAACTTATCATCTTGCGAATAAACCGTTTCACAAGGTAATCATCTAATGAGGCACCACTGTAACGTGAGTATAAACTGATTAAAGTCACACTATACTGTGGCCAGATCTGTATTCCTCAAGAGGTGATGCAGACTGGCAAAGGCACTCCTAGCCAGTCTCACGAACTGACCATTCAAGAGCTGCACTCCAAGAGGACCCTTAAGAGGCAAACCTCATCCTTCAAATCCATGTAGATTAAATTGTACTCCCAATCTGGGACCCTCCATTTTATCTGCATTAAGTCTCCATTTATTCACTCAAATCCACCCCTTCACTATACCCAAATAATGGCTCTGGATGCCCACAGCCTCCCTGACATTGGTTGAGACAGGGACAGAGGGAAACAGAAGGAAGGAAGGAAGCATCATCTACATACTGAAAAAAACATGGCTGCAAATTTGGGATTACTTGTACGATATGGTTCTACAATCCTGAACCACACAATTCACCCACCTACCTCCCCAAAAAACAAACAAACCAGAAATTTCTTGGTTCATTTTTTTCTTTAAAAAGTGGTAATTTGAACCATTCTAAGGCCTGGAGACCAGGGGGCTTAAATCTGGCCCCTAACATTTGAGAAACTTGTCCACCCCTGTACTTTGTATATAATAGTTAACTAATATATAGCATAAGATAAATCTACCAAGAAAATGTTACATTATGTGAAATCATATGGTATAAACTTATATAATACTGCATAGTATTATAAAGGCCATATATTCTTTAATATTCCAGCTATCCTGCCTCAAAATATATCCAAAAATAAATTTCTGGGTTGTTGCTGTTTCTTAAACCAGCATGTGCATTTGTTACTATTTTTTCCCCAGTCATATGGCTAATTTTATGGAATATCCACAGTACCTCAAGGGCCTCATTGACAGCTTCCACTTTATCTGGCAAGTTTTCAGTACATTTCATCCTCTCCTCTAAAGTATTTAGCCAAGCTGTTTCCAGATCCAGATAATGCAACAGCTCAATCCAGCAAGACCAAACTTCCTGAAAGTGAGGGTTACAGGGGAGGAAAATCATTATGTTTCAGAGACAGATCCCTACTCCAACTAATGAGATGGAGTAGATACAGTAGTTAAACAAAAGAACTCACAGACGTTTAAAACCTTCTTTACCTCTCCATATGTAATCAATATTTATCACCTAATAATTTCTGATCTACCAATCCATTCTACAATATTCATTTCCCAAGTTTTTTCAGAACGGTTCTAGCCCCACAACCACTTCTTTTGAGAGGACAAAAGGCAGACCAAATTTTGTGTTACATCCATACTAAATCACACTTGCCTATTTACAGGCACTAATGTCTGCAGGTATAACCTATGCAACAGGATTTTCACAACCACTTAATGCAAATATTATGGTGAAAGAAAATAAAATGTTTAATGTATAGTTCTTTGGCTTTTCTATTATATAACTTTCCTGCTGTCTAATACATCATAAAAATAGGATACATCCTCTCTAATACTGAAGTGAACATGTTTGGTCTGACATAAGAGCTAAATTTTATCACAGTATACTTTGTCCCTCATGGTCTAAAATCATCATTAGGAGACTGCTTTAAAGCTGACAATAATAAATAAAGTATAATAGGTTTTTAAGTTGATAGTTATGAAACATATTTCAACAACGAAACAAAAAAATCATTTCAGCTGGTCTGAACATTCTTTCCTTTTATAACTCAGAGTACCTTAAAATGTGTGCATTATCCGAACATGTTTTAAAGGATAAGCAATGGGGCAGGTTGTCAAGTTTAGTAGTAGGGCAACTGGTTTTGGTCTGATTGTCCTGCACAGGTGTTACGGGGAGAGAAGGAAAGCAATCCTACACAGACCATACCTCCAAAGTGTGGCATTTCCCCCGGATTCTGTTGCAGAGTAACTGGTAATTCTCCAATACCAGATTAAGCTCTGTTGTTAAGTCTTGACCACCAGATGGCAGTTTAGCAGCTAACATCTTGATGTTGTCTTTAAGAATTTTCACCCGCACTTCTTTCTGTAGCACATCTTCTTTTGCTCTCTGTTCAGAGACAAAAATACTGACCAAGCTGAACCCACCTTTACTAGCCTCTACTACGATAAATAGGCTCTGTAACTACATTTTTCTCATTAATGTTTTTAAAAATTTTCGCTGTTGCATTACTATAGCAGTAGGGAAAAAAATCAAGCAAAAGTCTCCTTAAGCTCACCTGAAGTACTTCTCTGCTACTTATCATTCTTGCATTGCAGTGCTTCCAAGAAACCCATGAGTGCAACTCAGGGCCCTTGAGCCAAAGCAAGCATTTCAGCCATTAAGTCAACTGACTCTTAAAGTTTAACATGACTTTCAGAGTCATAATAATTCTACAGTTTTGCCACAACCAAACAAACTACACTTTAAACTGTCTAATTTACACTTCATTAATCCAACAGGATTGTAGCATAACAGGTTTATTATGGAATGAGTTTTTCTGGGCCCAAAACTTGCCCACCTTTGCTCTGTTCAGAAGGACTGACTAGCTGAGGACAATGGCCTTTTTTATCCAATACATCCAGCTGCCACCAGGCTATGGAAGACTGGATTAGCATCTGCTTCAAAATATGTCCAAATAGCCCAGTATAGTCTAGAATTGTAAACAACAGCCTCATGATTCAGTTCATTATCTGGTGGGTCACCATCCTTTCCAATATATAAAGAAATACTTCACAAACGTGGTCTGTCTTTTACAGTCAAGCTACTGAGATTTCAATTATTATCCACCAAAATATTTTTATAATGGCATTACAGAATGCAGAAAATCCCCAAGGGAAAGCTACCTTCCTTTACATTTGGAACATATGGAAAGCAAAATGAAATGTACATGTTATTTGTTCCCCAGTTTTGGTTCATTTCATTTTATCACAGTACTGAAATATCACTACTAGTTGCTGTTATGTGTCATCAAGTCAGAAATGATTTACAGAGACCATAACACAACTTTCGAGGCAAGTAAGTGAGATATTTCAGGAGAGTTTTTTTTTACCAGTTCTACTCCCCTAATGAGTTTCCATGGCTGAGTGGGGATTCAAACTCTGGCCTCCAGAGTCCTAATCCAGCACTCTACCCACTACCCACTACGCCACAATGGGTAGTTATCACCACTACTATCACCACAAGAGAGTCATTTAAAATGTTTTGAGAAAAGTAAATCAGAATGGGTGGAATTAAACTTGCTGATAGCAGTAGAGATGGTAGTAAAAAAAAACAAGCATAACTACTATATCTCAGAGTGTATCCTTTTTGCTAATTCAGCACAGCACTGTGGAAATCTTTAGTTAGTTTAAACCCCAAACTTCCTCAACCTAATGATACATTTTTTTACAATGTTTCTTCTAAAACACTCAGCTTATCATCCAGCTGTACGCTGAGTCCATCTGGTCAGGCTGAATAGACGGCATCAGGCAAAACAGATTCCCCGAGGTATAGTGGATATAACAATAAACTACAATTCAGGGGTTTGGGGTTCAATTTCTTTCTAAGCCATGAAAACACTAAAGAGGGGGGCAGAGTCCCTTAAGAATCTCATTCACTTTGACAGCCCTGTTAGGGTCACTCTAAGCCATCTCCAACTTGATGGCACATAACAACATCAGACATGAATGTATAGTTAACATGATGTACAGGGTCATTTAAATATATCATACAGACATGTCCCCTTTTTTTAGCCTTAGAAAATATAATTTTTCTTCAAACTATGTTGCTTTCCCTTTTCTCTCGTTTCCAAAGACTACTAGGATATGAGTAGCATGGATGTAAGAATGGCCACATCTCCGTTGATATACAGTCAAGCTTTTCTAGCATTTCTGACCTTCATTTCCTCCACAGCATTCTCCAACTCATCCGGACTCTTGTATTCAAAATCTCTCTCCAAATATTCCTCTTCTGCCTGCGCCATCCATTCTTGCATCTCTGCCAAATCCTTTTTGAGGTTTACAGTTTTTTCTTGACTTTCAGATAATTGGTTTTTCTGACTAATGACCTAGGAATTCAACCAAAAAGCATAAAAGGGGATAGTATTGTTGAGAGCTTCCTGCATAATCAGAACAGTATTTTAGCTTTAATAGAAGAAAAATGTACAAAATACAGAGTGGTGAAAGTTCCAGTGGCTTACTTATCCGATAATTATTTCATACATCCTTTTAGTTAAGAAAAAGAAGAAATTGTTTAGGAAATACTGCTACTATGGTTACAAAGCAAGACTTTTCATTATAGGTTATACCAACTAGCAAATGTAACTGATTCTGCTTATTTTTAGTTCTATAGTATTCATTATAGTTGTAAGAAGTATAAGGTATCTATGGTAACCTCACTGTAACATGGGCCACTCAAATAGCATATAAATAGCTAAAAAATCAACACATAAATTCCTTTTCCAGGTGTTCAACCTTCTGCAGCTTGAAGTAAAGTAACAAGAATACTAACAATGTGAAGTCCAAAGCAAACACACAAGAGAATCAAACCTACTATCTTCTCCAAAACTGAATATGTGCCTCACAAGCACAGTATATGGCCTAAGATGGAAGGACACCCAGGCATTGCAGGAAGTCCTTGTCATAAGGTGTTAAATTTCAAGTCACATGGATCCAATTTTTGCTGGCAAAGTACTTGGCTCAGTGTTATTCTGACACAGGAAAAAGAATTAAACAGCCATTCTGCCAGCAAAAATGCCACTTTGTCCTCTCTGCCCTGGAAAATAATGTTGGCAGACAAGGCTTAAGAGTTACCGGTAGCCTTAAAAATACAATGTGTTCTGCTTATATACCACCCCATAGTGCTTAAAGGACTCTCTAGGCCAAATAATTGATGTTTTTGAATTGTGCTGCTGGAGAAGGCTCTTGAGAGTCCCCTGGACTGCAAAGAGAACAAACCTATCCATTCTGAAGGAAATCAACCCTAAGTGCTCACTGGAAGGACAAATGATTCTGAAGCTGAGGCTCCAGTACTTTGGCCATCTCATGAGAACAGAAGACTCCCTGGAAAAGACTTTCATGTTAGGAAAGTGTGAGGGCAAGAGGAGAAGGGGACGACAGAGGATAAGATGGCTGGACAGTGTCATCGAAGCAACCAACACGAATTTGACACAACTCTGGGAGGCAGTGGAAGATAGGAGGGCCTGGTGTGCTCTGGTCCATGGGGTCACGAAGAGTCGGACACGACTAAACGATGAGGCAATTTACAATTTAATTATGCAGGGTACACATTGCCCCACCCCCAATGAGCTGGATAATCAATTTAGCAACCTTGGAAGGATGGAAAGTTGAGCCAGGATAGAGCCAGGATAGAATGCAGGTCATGAGCTTAGTCTTCACTACTGTACTGCAGTTTAACATAAGGCTCCTGGCTGAAATCCTTTCATCCTGAGGAAGCACAGTGGGACAGATGGAAGTCCTTCATTCTGGAAAATCATTGCTACCAGGATGATTTTACCAGTGGCTGCGTACTACAGAAATTAAAGACAACTCATTGGCACAGCCCCCAATGGCTTCCCTATGACGGAAGAGGTACCTTGCAACTGTCATGGGGGAATCAGAAATTTTTAATTTCCAGAAAATTACAACAGTTGATCATGTCAATACCCTTATATGGCATGAGTTACACTTTTGGATTTCAGCTACAGATTTAACAGAACCAACTATAGCCTAACTGAAATGACAGCCCAGCTGTTATGGAGAGCATCAAAAACAAATTTATCTTTTTACTTCTCTTTTGTCCCTCATGTGCTTTTGCCTGTAAGTTTTGCCTGTTGTACCTCATGGTACCTGAAACAAGACCCACGCTGTGATCCAGGATACACTCTTTCTCAACAGCCTTAACTGAAAATTCTTTCTCAAACACTCTTTCTCAACAGCCTTAACTGAAAACAATGACAGGATAGCCAACTCCAAATAACACAGCACAGTTGTGGTATTTGGTCACAGGCCTCCCTATCAAGGAATCTCAGGCTTCCTCTTGCAGGATCAACACAACCACATGTACATTTGGAGAATGTCAGCAATTCAGATCCCAGGCTCAAGCTTCCCAGGCTATAGGAAAACTGATCCAGGCTGAAGAAAGTCTAAATCTCATATTGGCCCTCTACAGGTTGCTTACAATCTATTAGTTTTGGCAGTATTTAGTACAGTAGTACAGTAAACAAATCAGCGTTCAGAACAGGCTTCAGATCATATCACTGAGGCAAAGAGGCACACCACAGAAGCAATTCTTTCTAATGATTGTCTGTCAAGCCATGTGCTGCAGTCTACCACATGATCTTGTTATCCAACTGAGGAAACAATCTTGGTCTGCACAAGACATACACCGTATTTTTCCGTTTATAAGATGACCCAATGTATAAAACAATCCCCCCTTTTCCTAACCCAAATTAGAAAATTTGATCCCTGCTTTTCCCTTGCTTTTGCTAAGCCACAGAGCTTAGCTAAAGGAAGGTAAGAGCAGGGATCAAAGGGCTCCCTTTGACGACCGCTTTTCCTTGCCTTTTGCGAAGCCTCGGGACTTAGCAAAAAGGAAGGGAAGGCTCCCTTCGAGTAAAGGCTGCAGGACCACAGCCCTTTGATCCTGAAGCCCTTTCATGCCTGCTTTACCCAAAGGGAGCCTTTCCTTCCTTTTTTGCTAAGCCCCGTAGCTTTGCAAAAGGCAGGGAAAGCAGCTGCCTTCTGTGTATAAAACGACCTTTGATTTTTTTTGTCTAATTACTTAAGGAAAAAGTGTCATATTATACACAGAAAAATACAGTAATCTTATCTTCCTGATCAAAGAAGACAGAGGTCGGTTGCCTTACTACGAGCCAGTCACCATGGCTACATAGTTACAACCACTTCAGGAGGAAAACTGGGAAATGGTCTGTTGATCCCACTGTACTGCATGGTTCCCAATAGCACATCTGAAACATACAGTTCTGGCCGAACAGTATTCATTTATTCAGTATCAGGTATGGCATTTGACCCCAGGATATTCCCAGTGTCTTCCCTGGTTGGCTTCCAATGTGCTAGGTTTGACTATGAAATACTGTAAGTTGTTTTCTTTCTTTTAGAGGTTACAGATTTCTGAGTTGGATCCATTTACAAGGGGGAAGGAGATGTGAGGTGCTCTACTAGCCAAAACTGGGGATTGCAATTAGGGAGCATGAGTGGTCTACCAGTCTAAATCAGAGGATGTCACATGACTGGAGTGCACATATGAGCAATGAATGCCTTCCTCATCACTGCCAGTGGTCCCTTTAAAAAAGTGCTAAAAGTCATGTACATCCTGAAATCATCTGTAATCAGTGGTGATTTGCTTCTGGTGATGACATCATCCTTTTACACAAATGGAGCCGACCAAGAGGAAAATAACAGAAAAGGAAAAACCAATAGCTTAAGCCACACAAACATCGCACTTAAGATGAAGTTGTCTCTTTTATGGGAGTTTACTGTAAAAGGTGGCTTGGAAGAGATCTTTGGCAGAATTGTCACTACAAGATACACTTCAAGAGAGATCCATCCCAGCGTTTTCATCACTGTTGTCAAAAGATTACTTGTTCAACAGGAAACAGTTTTCCCTGCAATTCTGATTCAGTTAGCCACACAAACATCGCACTTAAGATGAAGTTGTCTCTTTTATGGGAGTTTACTGTAAAAGGTGGCTTGGAAGAGATCTTTGGCAGAATTGTCACTACAAGATACACTTCAAGAGAGATCCATCCCAGCGTTTTCATCACTGTTGTCAAAAGATTACTTGTTCAACAGGAAACAGTTTTCCCTGCAATTCTGATTCAGTTCCTTTTACTATTTTCATGCTATCATGTAGTATTGATACAGTGTTCTAAGTTCTCGAATGACTCTACATATTTTATTATTTTATTTTATTTAAAATATTTTTACACTGCCTTTCTCTTTAAGAAGGATCTAAGGTGGCTTAAAAGATAATATTTAAAGTTAAAAACATTAAGTATGTAAATGGTAAAAGGATCAAACAAACACCACAATAAAATACATATCCTGTATTAAAAATATTTAAAACACTGACAAGCAAGTGGCAAATACAGGGGCAGGGAGGGAGGCTGAGGTCAAAAGCATGACTAACATGTTAACTCTATTTAGCAAGTTCTCTAAAAGAGAGATGTAAAAAGGGAATGTACATTTCTTCTTTGAGAAAAGAAGAAAAGAGGGGAGATACGACAGCACTTTCCAAATACTTGAAAGGCAGCCATACAGAGGAGGGGCAGGATTTGTTCTTGTTCATCCCAGAGTGCAGGACATGTTATAATGCGCTCAAGCTACAGAAAGCCAGATTTCAGCTGAATATCAGGAATAAACTCTTAACCATTAGAGCAATAAAACAATGAAATAAATTACCTCGGGAAATGGTGAAAGCTCCAACACTGGAGGCATTCAAGAGACAACTGGACAATCATCTGTCAGATCTGCTTTGATTTGCATTCCTGCGTTAAGCAGGGGTTGGACTCAATGGCCTTACAGGCCCCTTCCAACTCAATATTTCTATGATTATATGGAACATCCCAGATTATAGCTTGCATTAAAACCTTGCAACACAAACCGCATTCACCAGCATCATAATTCTACTGTTAAATGGGTGAAACTCTTTTACTGTTTTAAGATGGTTTCTTGTCTCTCATTGCAATGTAGTTCCAATTACTGTATTTTGTGTATGTTTCTCCTTGTACCTTTGTAACAGTGGAAAAGTGATCTACAAATGTTCTGCATTAAGCGCAAAGTCATACTCATAGAAGTCTGCTAGAGAAATAGGACTTTGCCCCTTCCTGCCATCCTTATATGCCATCTAAAATCTGTTCTAAACAGACTCTCAGCATTTATAAGGTATGTAGGCAGTTGGAGAAAGGAAGAAGAATTACTGTACTCTGGGTTTCATCAGCAGAATGACATCACAGCATCCAAACCTCTGTCCCATTATTAAATGGCTACCTAGCTCTATTCAAGCAACATTTGCCAACAAACTACCACTAGGAATACAGAGTGACAGAAAAGATAATGCAAATAAAGAGTAATACTATCAATAACTGACCTGCTTGCTCAGCTTCTCCCACTGTGACTGGACATCTGTCAGCTTTGATTTCACCCAGGCATTGACAAGCTGCCCTCTTAAAGAAGACTCTATTTCCTTCATCTCTTTTAAAATCAAGTCAGTCTTCTCCATTTCAGTAACAAGCAGCTGATCATAAATAAGAAAAAGCATACTAGCATTAGTTTTCAAGATGTAGGTGGAAGTACTGCTTATTATGGAGACATTGCACAAATATCTCTCAAATTTTTCTTTTATCGTATCCAAGCAATGTCATATACCTAATGATTGCAAGTGCACTTATGTAACTGCATACTTTTATTTGGACAATGGCTTCAATATAGAAAATCCCTCCTGATGTTTGAGTTCCACACATTTTAAGGATTTTTCCCCTTTAATCCTGAAACTCCAGCAGAACCATGACCACCACTGCAATCCATATACAAACCTTGTACTATAATTAGCTTGTGAAACCCTCAAGTTGCAAGGTCAGTTTGTCAAATGTTACAGTGAGCCACTGCATCACATAGTTACCTGTGGATGTTACCTGGATTTTGGACAGTGTGTCCTCTGTGTCTCCACCTATAAAATTGTCTCCACCTACAAAGGAGGTGTTCTGTGTGCAAACCTATTGCAAGAATCTATAATCTTGACAAACACAAAGGCAAGGGCAGATGATACTTTTATGGAACCACAAAAAACATGAACAGCTAGCTTTTGACCTAAACCAGTCTTCCTCAGTCTGTGCACCAACATATTGCTGATAGTGCAAACATAAAATATATATGAGACTCCCAACAATTCTTGGTAGATGATTATGTCAGGTTTGCTCCTTAAAAGTGAGTTCAAAAACTCAAGCTGCAAACAATTTTTGGGGTGTGGTTTTAAACTCCACCCTTGGTAGCTACCGGCTGGATTCCTCTTCCTAACTCCTCAAATAAAGGACCTCTTTAATCACATGCTAATAAGTGTTGACATTGTTACAGTGGTAGCAATGCTTTGGCACAGAGCTTATCCAGGTCAAGAACCAAGACAGGCAATCAGGAGTCTCTCTCTGAGAGTCAAAGCAAGTGGAAGGTCTCTGCATATTCTAGACCACTGGTTCTTAACCTTGGGTTACTCAGGAGTTTTGGACTGCAACTCCCAGAAGCCTTCACCACCAGCTGTGCTGGCTGGGGTTTCTGGGAGTTGCAGTTCAAAAACATCCAAGTAGCAAAGGTTAAGAACCACTGTTCTAGACATCCCACATCAATTCCATGAAAATGGACGCCCCATTTGCTATATATGCTAAAAGACAACAGCCCAAGTGTATCCACTTTTCTACTTCATGAATCCAACGTTTATGTAACATATCTTGCTGGGCAACAAGATGATTCTGGAGACAAGGTATACTCACTATACTCAAAATGGCAGAAACATCAATAACAGAAGCTTTGTGGTATGTTATTATGTACAACACTGAGAAATATCCAGAGAATAAGCTAGCAACTAAATGACACTACAGGATATTACCAAGTCTTACCACACATTGATCAAGCTGCCTTTGAAGGCTTTCAGGGTCCTTTTGGATGGACTGTTCTTTTATTAAGAAGTCTTTTGCACCATCTGACCACTTCTGAACCAATTTTGAATCAGCCTGAATACAAAACAGCAAAGACAAGGATTATTATGGATAACATTAGACATTTTTAAATTATATTTCCCACTGAAATAGAACAGGCAAAACAATTAATACTGATCCCTTACTTGCATGTTCCTCAGTCTAATTTGAACAAAAGTTAACCAGTAGATCCAATAACTGTGTTTTATTATTACTATTAATATTGCATAGGCCAAGATCAGAAAGAGGTAGACAGAAAGGACAGGTAGAAAGATGATAAACTGCTAAATGAAGACAAGAGAGTCTACAGAAGAGAGGTTAAGTTTGGTCTTAACATATCTGAGTTGAGGGTGTCGAAACGACATCTAACTGAAAATGCCATATAAGTCCTAGGGGGCAGAGGAAAGGCGAAGTTCTAAGGCAAACAGATAAAGCTGGGCATCATCAGTTTACACGCATTCTGAAATCCAGAGGATTTGAGCAGGTAAACCTAGAGTGGAAAACATTCTAAGGTGGCTTGAGGGGAAAAGTTAAGTAAGAACAAAATGGGTTCCTTCTGTGGGAAACCTATGAGTTGAATTGCATGGAAAGAAAAGGAACATTTAAAAGATAGAAACAGACAAAGATGCATGAAAACAAGACAAAAGACCTTTGAATTTTGGAAGAGCTAAGATTCAAAACTAAATTCTGCTCTATTTTAGGCTAGCTATATCATGTGCTTCAATGTTTACAGAAGTACTCCATTCAGAATTCAGTTCTGCTTTCCTTTCCTTCTTTCTTTTTTCTGATTATGTGGTAATGTACAGCCTTCTGAAAGAACACATGTGCTGGCTATTCAGAGTCCCCATTGTACTTGTTTGCATCCAATACAGAGGAACAAGTTATGTCCAGATTCTTAACATTTTTATTCCACCTCCAGCTTTTGGAATTTTTTTCATCTGACTGGAACAACTTATGAAAAAGTTTACAAAACAGACTGCATGGACAATAGTCCCAAAGATATTCTTTACAGGCTGAAAGATACACATTCTACCCTGGGAAGAGTGGAAAATTGTTTACTGGGAATGATATAATCTGTGTAGATGGATCGGAATGTGGAATATAAAATTTATGAAACCTTTAAGGAATCAAGTATCTAGCATTAACAGGATCCAAAGATTCATCACATAACCAAATTCTCTATTTATACATTACTTTGTCCCCTCCAGACTCCCAGGTGCAGTTATTTATCTCTACTCCTAAAGTCAATCTACTCCTCTCTTTTGGTCCCATACAAACAGTATTTAATTCAAAAGTGCCAACTTTGTCTATGCACTCTTACATTTCTCTTTCCCCACTAGCCTCCAGGTCTCTCAAGCATAGAACTATTCCTATTCCTACTATTACCATTTCTTCAATCTCTGCTCTTGGTCCCTTACAAAGTAATTTCTGACCCCCTTTTTCAATACAACTGCCCTGACTACATCTTTTTCTACCTAAAGGTCTCTATTGTGTTCTCAGCCTCCCTCTGATTACTTTGATACTATCTCCATATTTTTCATACTTGGGCACGTCATGAGAATGACTGATAGTTGGATTCCCAAGGATCTCCTGTATGCAGAATTAGTGCAGGGAAATCGCCCCAGAGGGAGACCACCCTGTATGAAGGGCTTGGAACAGCCACACTAGATGCTGTTCCAAGCCCTTCATACAGAGCACGTTATCATAGTCTTTCGAGACTGAAGGATGCCTAACATAATGTGGTATCACCATTATTCACCCAGCTTGACTTGAATTTATCATACTTCTTCCCCATCTGTTGCAACCATATTTACCAGACCTTCTTTGTAGTATTACAACACTATGAAAACACAACTTCCTTTCCTGCTTACACGCTAGCCCTTTATTCACCTTCCTCATTCCTATGACTATGTGGCATCCAAAAAGGAACTAATAAATGACTTTTTATTTCTACTTACCAGAGTTGTGGAGGGTTTTGATACTCCATTCTTGGTGGGGTTTATATATATATATATACTTTTGAATTAGAAGCAAATCCCAGTATATATATTTCACTGCAATAAGTACAATCTGCTCTGCACCTCAGAGAGTGACCAACATAACATTCACATTACCGACTGGGATTCGCTTCTACAGTGGCATACATTACATGAACTGTAGCACCTAAATGTATCTGTATAGGAATGTATTTACTAGAAGAGTAAAGTAAACATAAGCATTTAGAGGCGTACATCAGTTTACGAAATTAATCCACTCTATGTGACATTACATAATGTGGACATTTGGTAAACTGAAATGCTAATACACTAGGAAATGGGTGGCGTTACAGGCGAAATGCACTCTGGGAAAACCCTTTTGTATTGCGGGGGGGGGGGGGAATAAAACGCAAACCGAGGCAATATTTTCTATGGATTTCAGTTCATAAACTGAAAACTACATAAACCAAGGCATTCATAACCTGAGGTACCACTGTATATGCTTACCTCAAATATTCTCAATTTAGACATTATTTCTTCTACTAGATGAATATCTTTAGAAACCTTGAGCTTTAATTTATCCCTGTATTCCTGCAAACATTTAAATTCTTGCTTGTACAGCTTTGATTTTTCAACAGAAATATGCTTCTCTAAGGCTTGAGTGTCTGCAGCAAGTTGATCTACCACCGTTTTCTGATTTTCCAGTGTTTCACAAATTGTCTGCAACGAAAAAAAGATTAAAAAATAATTTTTTAATTGTCTCACTTCTGCAATTAAAAAAAATGAAATCCCATACACTCTATGATATGTGACATTTTATGTTACACATGCTACTAATAAGAGTCCTATTCAGACATGTTGTAGCTAAATAAAATAAGTACATGAGAAGAGGGGTATACTAACAGTGGTCCCCTCAACAGCTATCTCCACTGTTCTCCACAACGGAGACACTGCTTTTGTGAAGAAAAGCAACTCCTTCATGTGTGGACATTCTCTGTGTAGTGCAAAATAGTGGAAAATCCATGGTTTTCATGGAGGGCCTTGCAACATACAAGAGCTCTCCAGAATGCTGCTCTACATAAATAGGGTAACAGAAACAGTGCAAGTGGAGGTGGGAACAGTTTCCAACTCTTTCTGAGGCTATTTCATCGAGATACAACACACATGAAAATAGCCCTAAAGGAAATATACCATCAGGTATAATCTCATCCTCACCCCAGGATGTTGTCCCATGCCATAATGGGATTTAACTTTATATAGTTTCCAAAGGCACAACATTTTTCATGTAGACAAATATAGGATCTTCATTCCTGTTTTGACATTCTGGTAGAGGAAGTCAGGTTACAAAACCCCTAGTACACATCCGTACATACATCTATCCCATCTCCCTCCATCCTTAGGAAACATAAACACTAAGATCTACAAGACCTAACACAGTATCACAAAGATGGCCGCTTCCATCATAGAGGCATGAACAAAGACAATGTGGTACAACTCTAAACATCAGGAGCATCAATCCCAACTTCCCAGTTCTTCTGCGAAATCCATATTGATTGGAACATACATTCAAAATGGAAACTATGTTGTAGAAAGAACAGAGAAACACACAAACATGCCCTTTGGAGATGGCATATGGCTATCAATGTGTTGAGATAGGACAGAATAAACATCAGTGGACAACTGAACCACATTTCTTCATGGATGGACAACCTGCAGCCTTCCAGTTGTTGTTAGAGTTCTACTTCCATAACCACCAACTAGTAAGGCCAATTACAAAGGATAATGGGCACTGAAGTCCAACAGTATCTTGAGAATGACACATTGCCCACCCCAATCTACTAACTTGATACTTTCCCATTAGATAAGATAAAACGGATGGTAAGGGGAAGAGCAACTCTATATAGTTCCATTGAAATTCAATTTGCTTAATGGTCGGTCAGAAAGCATACCTTTGTCTGTTGCAAGGCTTTTTCAACTTTACTAAAGTCAGTCACTGTATTCATGATGGATTGCACCTTGCTTTCTGATTCATTCAGTTCCTCCTTCAGTTGTTTCAGAGCATCTAAATAATCCTTAGAAGGCTGACTTTCACATTCTACTTTTGGAAACAAAAACATTAAGATCAACTCAACAACTATCTTACAAGGGTAGACAATCCAGCAAATTAATGTACGAAGGTTTTATACAATCCAGTCCCTTCAAGATATGTTGTATCTATCCTATTAAAGGGATTGTATATGCATAAAATACACAAAACCATTTCAAAATTTGGTCTATGAGAGTATGGCAACTAAATAAAAACTGACCACTGTAGCCTCAGTATATTCTAGAAGTTGGTTCTCTTTTTCAACTCTGCTTCTTCTCTCATGCTCTCTGCATGACCTGACAAATGACTGTATGAGAAAGAAATGTGCTTGTCCCAGTTGTATCAGGTCTAGGCTGCTATCAAAACTCTGTTTATGATAAACTAAGGACCCATTTCAGACACCTGGAGTAAATGCTTTGAAGACATCTGTGAGAGAGACACTCCAGATGTCCCCAGCAAGCTGCCTGCCTTGGACCTGCACTCCTGGTGGGACTTCCTGGAGACCTTGGCAACAGGGCAGCCTGAGGGCACAGAAAAGCAAAGCAAAGCGTGCTGCTTATATACCACCCCATAGTGCTTCAAGCACTCTCTGGGCGGTTTACAAGTTAATTATGCAGGCTACACATTGCCCCCCTCCAAGCAAGTTGGGCGCTCATTTTACCGACCTTGGAAGGATAGGAGGCTGAGTCAACCTTGAGCCGGCTACCTGGGATTGAACCCCAGGTTGTGAGCACAGTTTTGGCTGCAGTACAGCAGTTTAACCACTGCGCCATGAGGCTCATTTTGGATTGTCACCTGGGACAAGAATGGAGTCCCAGGTGGGAGCTCAAAGTTGACTGAGCTAGACCTGGAGGACTGGAACCACAATGGGATGGTGGGAGACGGGTTTAGAGGAGGAGGAGGAGGAGGAGTGGGGGAGGAGGAGGAGGAGAGGAAGGACTCATTACCCTTGATGTACTTATTGTCAGAGGAGGGAGAAGCCCTTGGAGGAGCTTCCTCTCATTTTCTTCACCCTCAGAGAGGGATGGCCACTGCAGGTCAGACCCAATGGGTCTGCTTCTCCAGGACAAAGGATGGTGGAGGAACGCACTGGTTGCCACCCAACCTGAGCCCTCACAACAGCACAGATGCCAGCTGAGCTGTGACCCACTATCCCCACACTGGCACAGAAGCAGGACTGGTAAAAGAAGTGACACAACAAGTGACTGAGAAACCTTCATTGGCCCAGTATTATCAGTCCTCCTTAAAGGATGTCCACTGGCTGGAATAAGTGCCATGAACAAAAACACAGAGAATGAAACAGGGGTTCATCTGAGGACTGATGAAGGGCTTGTGAAAGGAACTGAGTCCTCTTCTCTTCATGAACTGTCAGGATGGGAGATGTCTGGTGCCCAACTGAACACTATGCCCTGTTCCTCTATCTTAATAAAGATAAGTTCCAGCAGCAACAAAAGTATAGAGTCCATGGAGTCTATGGGTCAGGAAATCCACATGGCCAATCCAAACTTCAGCAGGGGTGATGGTGTTCACACCATCTTTGTTATCATTTTTCCAATTAGTAAGATACCATCTTATCACGGCATTAATTAGTGAGTTGCTCTGTTATCATTTTTTCCAGTTAAGAAAGGAAGCATTATATTATAGAAATTAGCTAAGGATAATTCTAGTTAGTGTGCAGGTGCAAACATTAATAAGTTAGCTAAAGATAAATAATATCTCCAGTATCTTTGTCCAGTGATAATCAAGTACAGATTGTTCCCACACTGATACTCTGCACCTATGTGAAACACATGCTGCCCTTCTCCAGGGGCTTCCAGCAAGTGAGAAGACTGCAGGTCATATTTATTCTGCTATCTCCTACTCGATTACTGGTTTATATTATTTTATCCTGTAGTTGTTGAATCTCTTCACAGTACTGCTCTTCACCATATTGCTGCTGCTATTGTATTATCCTATGATGAATCATTCAAAGTGATTTTCCTAGAATTATTAAAAGTGATTTTCCTACTATGTTTTTTTCCTATTTCACTGTCCCTTAAATAAAGTTTTCTCATTCATTTGCTTATGTCTTGAATCCAAAAGAACCTACTGCCATCCAAACAGGACAACCAGACAAAACTGTATTACAGACCCTAAGATGCAAGCTCTTCTTCTTCTTCAGCATTTCTATGATCATGGACATAATCAGACTGATATGAAGTTCTGCTGCCTTGAAAAAGTCTGTACAAAGGATTTTAACTACATTATATATTTCTGCAGAAAGAAATATACTCAATCTACATTTTAAGGACTAGCTGATTAAATGAAAAAAAATAGCTGAATGGTTATGCCTTGAATGAGGTTATGTAAAATGTTGGTGCCTGTCTGTACTGTATCTTTCAAAGATAATTAGCTCTTTGGCCACTATGTATTTTTACAGAAGCTCTTCATACTTGGTTGGTTGTTTTTTTAAGCTATATATAATTACTTTCTTCATTTCATTTTCCGGTACATGCTGATATTCTGCCAGTGGATTGGCAAATGTTTTTCCGCAAATTAATTACTTTCCTTTTCCTTTTACATCACTGCCCTCTAGGTTTTTTCCCACTGTAGAAGACAGTGGCTACAATGAGCACTTTTTTTTCAAAGCAATAATGAATGCAGGTATAAAGCTTTCATTCTTCTTTTCTTTTTCTCCAGGACTGCACTTTAATTGTTCTTCGCCAGTTCCCTTGGTACATCCATTATAAAGGGTTCTAACTATTATGTGTACTTTTTTAGTATGTGACTTGCAAATGCATCCAGCTTCAGGTATATTAAAAAAAAAACAGTGAACTCCACCCTGACCCTAGAGTCCTTTCTTCGCAAATTCTTTCCGTTGCTGTTGTTCTTGGTTTGGGTTTTTTTTTTAACTTGCCTCCACCCCCGTATACCTATTCAGTGCTCTTACTGTTCCAGGCATCTTTTGGGACAAACTAACAAACTAATGCTGCCCCAGGAAACAAATTTCAAGATGTAACCAATTCATTTATTTTGGTTAGGAAATCAGTAGCATAAGTCTGTATTTCTCACTTTTATCATTTTTTAGATCTTTTGGGACAGACAAACAAAGAAAAACGTCCTGCAACATTTGTAATAAATTTCCTTTTTCTTTATAAATTTCAATTATTTTTAATATATAAGTTGTTTTCTGTTTAGAACAAAATACTCTTATTCTACTTACAGACAACATCACTGTTAGATTATTGTTTTGTTTCCTGACAGAATCTGGCTATGAGACAAAACACTATTTTTTCCCACAGGATTGTATAAGACGTTGTGATTTTTATATTAGAGTCCTAAAAATATTTGGTGCTTGTTATATGACTTAGAAATTTTGTTTATTCATTATGCACATGGATCAAGTGGCTTAATTTTAATGTTGAGGTCTACAGAATATGCTGTATGTACCAAGTATGCAGAATTTACATATTTACTCATATGGTACTGCACATCCCAATTCAACTGCTTCCTGCATTAAGAAGATAAAGGCAAGGGACAATAAATACTATGGGTAGGATCCAAATGTTTTGTTTGATCAACAAGAGTGATTTCTGTAAGTAGAACTCTTCTTCCATTGATGAAATAAAACATTTGGTTCCAACCCAATGTAAAAGGACAAGACAATGCACACAGAGAAACTACATGACATCAGCAACAAAAAAAGCTAACTGGTTCCTAAAGCAGCATTAAGTAGATGTAACTTTAAATGCTTTGACATTTTTATTTTACTGGAGGGATATGTTGATGTTCATATCTTATATGCTTATTGCTGAACTTCAGTAGAATATTTTATGTATGCGATTCTGTTAAGCTGCATGAAGCAGACATCTGATCTGGCACGATAAAAATTAAATTATCATAATGGTCATTGCACTGAAGTCATTCTACTCAAGGACAATGAAGGTAAATACAATTCCCATGTTTTGGAAATACTGGATGGTCTGATAGACTAAACTATAGGGTTATGAATTAAGAAAATATGTTTAGCAGAAAACATAGCCAAAATCCTCCAGGCCCACTGTTTTATTCTCTCTCTGGAGAAGCATCCAATAATATACTACACTATTAACCCAAAAGAAAAAAATGACGAAAGAAAAATTGTGTCATTTTAAAGTGACTTAGTTTTATACATATCATAGAAGAATAGAAAAATTGAGTTGGAAGGGGTCCATAAGGCCATCAAGTCCAACCCCCTGCTCAATGTAGGAATACAAATCAACACACACCTGACAGATGTGTGTCCAATTTTCTGTTGAATGTCTCCATATGCCACACATAAGCAAAGAAAGGACATATATGTTCGACATCTCTCTAGGCTAGTCAGTGATTTCCGTCCGTCCCGTCCCCACCCACCCCGCAACTTTCTGGTACTATTGGCATTATATATGACTTTTTCCCATTAAACTATAAAGATAATACTCTTCTCCAGAAAATCTTCAGTGTCTTATTATGGATTTATTATATCACAAGCAAAATTGCATATATGGCGGCACAACATTGTCACTAATTAATAGATTACTACCATTTGCTTTCCTAATACCATATCACATGCACTATCTACCATCCTATTAGGAATAATAGGAGCAACCTGCTAATTAGTAGTAATTTGCTTCCACTATTTACACAATTACATTTATGCATGCATAAATCCAAAACAGGATTCTGTTCAATATGTTATACATCAAGCAGAAGAAAACAAATATGATACTTATTCCATTATAATGACTTTGAAGAGCTACACTACACTCTCAGTGAACTATATGGCTTATAGACAGCAGCGGTCGAGTAACACAAAGCAGCCTGAGTTCTGTGGGTTTTGCTACCAACACTAGCTAGTAACAAAGGATGGTAACTGAGAAAAGATTCCCCCCCCCCATATTAAATAAAAGCACACCTTTTTTCAACCTCTGTAGAAGAAGTTCCAATTTCTGCTGTGTGGAATTGAAGCGCTCAGTCAAAGAATTGAGATTATCTTCAATGAAGGTTGGAGCAGCAGGCTGGGATGAAAGAGCCTTGCCCTTCATTTTGAGGTGTTCAATTTTGGGGGTCAAACTTAAGAGGTCAGTGAGCTCCCGCTATAAAAATTAAAGACATGAATGCATGCAAACATTAAAACTGCTTAATAAATGTTAAGTTATATTGAACTCTTTAAGTAACATTACTGGTGCCAACCAGAGTAGACCCAATCAATGAGATTTATCACTTATCATTTAGCAACTGAATCATACAGTGTAGTATAGCTGCAACTAGCAACAGGATTAGGGCCACTGAGTTAAACTAACCAACAACTTTATCAATCCAGGTTAATCTCACATTACTGCAATTCATGTATTTGACAGTGAACAAGTAGAAATTACCTCACATGACTCCTTTAGAGTTGTTAAAGGTTGCTGCTGAGCTGATATAATTGAGTTGCCTTTCAGCCATAACTCTTTGTCTCTCACATTTTTTTCAAACTCATCAAATTCACCAACATAGATGTTTACTTCATCCTGGTACTGCAGCTTTTTTGCTACTTCTTCCAGCTGCAGATCTGTTCCTTTCCATTCCATCAACACCTTCTCTATAGCATTTGCTGTATCATCAGTAGGAAGTCCCTCTGAACAAGAGAAAAGAAACAGATGTGTTTTGATCTGCAACATTCATTAATACAGTGTTGTCCTTCTAAGCTTTCAGATTGATGACCACCTATCTCAAGATAATGCTCAACAAAAGAAACAAGTTCCTTCTCAATTACTTCCAAGGGAGATTTTAAATTCAACTCCAATTCACATTAAATTGTATATACTCATAAATACATTCATTTTAGATTCCCATGGTTCTTTCGTAAATTTCAACTTAGCAAATCATGGCGAGTCCAACTTTTGACAAAATATAATAATATAAAGTTCTTGTGTAACTCTTTCAGAATACTCAACAATTACCTTCTTCCATTTGATCCAGCAAACTTTCACTAGCCAGGCTGAGTTCATTCAATGTTTTCTTCTTTTCCGCCCTTTCTTTTTTTATTGCCTATCAATAAACCATAACAGTTAAAGTGAAAATGAAATCTTTAACTAGCGTGGCCCTGGAAAACTGTCAGGAAGCAAGACTACCTGGTAATCTTAATCCACTGTGCACTCTTTGAAAGAGTAGCATGTATCTTTATTCATAGTAAAACAATAAATCAAAGCTCTAGTCCTATTCATAAATAGCTGAAAGCATGCTCAACAGAACATAAACATATGCAAGACTGCACTATAATTAAAGTTTGGACTTGGTGGGATTCAAATGTTTCCTTTTAATTGGCTGTATATTCACAGAACAAGACGACATCACAATCTATTAAAAAGGTTCATTTATTTCTTTGCATCACCAAAGTTTCTTCACCCTGCTTTTTAGTGGTCTTTTGGAGCTCCTGTCCCCATCCTTATCAAATTGTCACTTCCTTTTAAACTTCTACTTAAACTAGGATTTGTTACTCTTAACTAGACAGTTCAGAAAGACAATTGTCTCATCAGATCCACAAGGTCATACAGAAGAAAACATTCTAACAGAGACCAAATATTGGTAAAGTTACATGATGAAGACTGCAGATTACAAACTCTGCTAGTTCATGGAAGAGTTCACTAAACTAAGCAAGTATATCCATCACCACTACCTTCAGAATAATGCTGAATACAAAGACAAATGCAAAAAATAGCTTGACTTTTGGTAAATTTTCAGTGTACACCCTTTCAAAAATTAAATTTACTTTATTAGAGTCTAAAATTCAACAGGGATTCAAGAGATTTTTTTTATCAATAATCCTTTTTAAGGATCAAAAGACCAGGGTTAAAAAAACAACTATCCATAGATTATATACAGTTCTATCTGTAGGATTTACAATCTGGCCGTGTACGAAATCCAATTCAAATAGGAAATACTTCCAGGATGCTCTGTGGCAGTACTAATTAATTAAGCTATACTTCAATTTCCACTGTCTGCAGGGTGTATGGAAAGGTTATTAGTTGATTTTAGGGGCTCAAATCAGAACTCTACCATATTCTACTATTCTATTGAAAGACTATGAGGATTCCTGCAGGGTCCATTTCTAAAGATAAGGCCTTTCCAAAATGCACTTTTTCTTCTAGAAGGAAAAGGGCAGTTAAACAAGAGTTGGGTGAAGGAAGATACCCATTAAACCTCAAAGCATGGCCTACCACAACTGCAACCATTATTGTTTTTTGCCAGGACAGGATAGCTATGAGTGAGGGAACTTTAAAATGTATAATAATGGAACTTAATTCACAGGAAACTTCCAGATCAAACTGTACCTCCAGCTGATATCAAGCTTAAACTGACAAAATAACCCATTCACCAAAAATGCCTTCCTATTTCTCACAGTACCTTCAACATTTCTTTCATGTCTGAAGTCTCTCTCATCTTCTTGTACTCTTTGATCTCTATGTCCTGAATGGCAGCTTTTGATTTCAAAATCCAGTTCAACAGCTCGGCAATTTCGGAATCAAACCTAGTATAGAAAGTTAAATCATATTTTAGCAATGCCTCCCCTCTCACACATTCAGATCACATGAAGTGTTGTAATTCAAACAGCAACACATCCTGAATGCTTACAAGCCTCTCTTCAATATTCAAAATGAGGCACCCACATGGCTTCCTGAGGCAGACTGTTTTGCCCATGGGAAAGTAAGCTCAACCTAATCACCACTGTGTTCTTTCTCTACACTATACCTAGAGATTGGTAGGTTCTTGCATTAAGTTCTGCCTGCAGAAGGGTGACAATGTCACTGACAAGGGGAGATATTCTGTGACTAAATACTTCCTCCTCCTACCCCATAGCTTGTCTGACTCATGAGTAATCCATTTATGGATAATGGTTTAGGTGTCTCGCTGAGGACCCAGAGGTTGGACATCCAAATCCCCACTATGTCTCCTTGATAGGGGCTGGGCCTGATGATCTTTAGGGTCCCTTCCCAGTCTAAAGTTCTAAGATTATTATTACTGTATTATTATTTCACTTCAGGGAAGCCAGGGAAGCCATGAAAATGTCCGTCTGCCAGTAATATAATCACTCTTCTGCAGCAGAAACTTATGCAACAGGATTTTGGCCTGGATGTATAGTAGCTCCAAATGCATTACATTTCCTGCATTCCCTGATCTAGGACAGCATCATGGAATGCAGTAACTGTAAAGGAGGACCTACACTCTTGAAATTAGAAGATGCTGCACAGAGGGCAACAGAGAAGAATAGGAGGTCACAGTCATTGACAGATGATGAGCACTCTCTTACCTACCCCTCCACACTGCAAACCTTATTCACAAGAGTGTTTTTAACCACAGCCCGGTGTTCACAAATGGAATACTGTATATAAACTGTTTTTATAGACAGCTCTACATAGGAAAAGCCCCCTCAGACAAAATAACTTATTTTACAATACTGCAATTATCCACATGCATAGTGAGAAAGTAAGTATAAAGTGAGCAAGAGTGGTGTCCCTGATTCAAAAAACCCCAACTATCATATGCTTACTTTTTTTTCATTTCAGTATCCAGACGTGCTTCTTTTTTCTTTGGCAGGAAAACTGGAGGAGACTGTTCCACTTTAGACTGCTTAACTATTCTCTGCTCTTTCATAAGGACAGTTTCTGAGCTGAACTTTGGTGAAATCTGGAGCATCGCAACATTAGAAGCAGCCTGAGTAACCTAAAGGAGCGATTTAAAAAGATACATCTGTTGTTCAGTGAACTTCCATAATATTTCAAAAATGAATGCCATCTTTCTATAAAATACAGTGGTGCCTCGACTTAAGAATACCCCTACCTACGAAAATTTTGAGTTACAAAAAGCTCTGGCCGCAAAATTTTTCTTCGACTTGCAGCTGGAGCTTTGACCTAAGAACATAAAAGGCAGGGGGAAAGGGTGGGAAATTCAAACCATTGGTGGTGAAGAGGCTGCTTCTTTGTAGCTCTTTCACCACAACAGTTAGAGCAGGGGGTCAGGGAACTTTTTTACTCCTACAGAACAGGAGGAGGAAGGAGAGGCGGGGGCAGCTTTGGATCGGCGCCTGGGTCTACTCATGAGTAAGGGCGGCCAAAGGCACTGGGCTGAGCTGAGGTTCGCGGGTGGGAGGGGCTCCTCCGTGGACGGGGTGTGCAGCGGTTGTGGCGCAACAGGAGGCTCCCTGATGGGAGCGAGTGCCATCGGAGGAGGCTTCAGTCTGCCTGGTAAGGTGCTGCTTTTTCCTTTTTAGAAACTTCTGGGTGGGTTTTGCAGGGTGGGTTTTGGCTGAGGGGGGTTATGTTTCTGTGCTGTGGTGTTTTTTGCAGTCCCAGTGTAGGGATTGCTTGATGTTTATTTTTGGGGCAGGGATTTGTTTGTGTTTTTTGCAGCCTTCGGGGCTTGCTCTGTTATTTTTTTAAAAAAGCCCCAGCGCCTTCCAATGGGGCTTTCTGTGTACTTAAATTTTTTATTATTATTATATTATGGTATTTTTTTGAAATGCTGGAACGAATTAATCTCATTCCCATGCATTTCAATGGGAAACGGTGCTTCAACTTACGAAAATTTCGAGTTACGGCCACCGTTCCAATACATATTAATTTCGTAAGTCGAGGTACCACTGTATAAATAAAGCAAGTGACTGTGTTCTGACATAATGCTGAACAACAGTAATCCAAGACATAAACTGCTGCTGCTTCTTTCTCCAGAAGGCATTATCAGTGTCTGTCATTTCTCTAATTTCAGCTTGTTGTGTATAAACTGGAGATCTTTGTTTATCACAAATTCTAAACATTTCAAAAAGAAACTGATGTAAAACTACATTTAATAACTATTTAATAACTATATCATGATGCTTGATTTGCACTTAGAGGGAAATGAAAGTAAATGCTAGTAAAGTTTTTTCCTAAACGTTGCAAAGGACAGAGGCAGGAATATGAAAGACCCTACAGCTTTGATAAGCCTAATTCTAATTAATGCACACAGCACAAAATCATGAATTAACATTATGCATAAACACAACCAATAACTATACTAACACTTTGAATGTGACCCAGGTAAAGTCAAGTAGTTTGAAGTACTGTCTAGTGAGAACATACGAGCATGAACTTGACAGCACTGTCCATACTTTAAAAGTCACAATTTCTTTATTTATTATACTTGCAATTCTTCTTCTATGTTCTTTTCCAAATAAATCCCATCATTACCATGATATGTTCACTGGTCGCAGGTGTACACAGCTGACTTAAAGCAAAATCACTTGCTGACTGTCCACCTGATCAAACTACTCCCAGCTCTGAGTAGAACTCCAAAGCCTCTTCACAGACTTAGGATCTCTACCATGTGAAATCCCTCAACCAGTCAGTGAACCTGAGAGTGCTATTTTTGGAGGGTCTAGGGGCAAATTAAGACACAACACACAACACTAATGGTACCCTAAATGCCACCTTATGATTCAACTGATTGGGCCGGGAGAGTACATTTCAGGCAAATGCCTCTATACTAAATACCTCTATACTCTTATAGGGCAGTTTACGGTAAAAGCATTGAATAGAATAACTGACAATGGCCAAAATCCTATTGCAAAAGGAGTAACTTTTGGAAGCAAGCAACCATAACTTAAGAAATTTCCACAGACATTATCTGTTGCATGCCAGGTAGTATGACTCAGCATGTAATGGATAAGGTCTACAGAGATTTCTTAACTTATAATTCTCTTACAAAAGTTATGCCTTTTGTGTAACTGCGCAACAAGATTTCAAACATTGTAACAAAAATATATGATAAAATCATATTTGGCAGAATAAAAATCTGTAACAAAAATATCTGATAAAATCATATTTGGCAGAATAAAAATTAAGTTAGAGTCTGCCTACAGTGACCAATCAGATTTGTCAGTGGAAGAAATTTTATTTGTATGAAACCACCACTGTAGAAATTCAGCTCTGTCACCTGTCAACATGATCAACCTTAGTGGAAAGTACAAGAACTCCGAGGCTGATCTACATACATGTAGGCCATCCCAGGTCTCAATCCACTAAGGGAGAGTAGCCCACTGTTCTGGACCACTAGATGATGATAACTATGAAGACCTGAAACTTTGAATAAATTGTTAGAGGCTGAATGAGAGAAAGGAGTCACAGAGAAACAAGAGGGAGGTTGGTTTTTTGGACTCCTCAGAAGAGACTACTGGAACTCTAAGCATTATTGTTCCCACTTGGTGATTCTTCTAGATTGATGCTAGCCAAAGCAAAAAAAAAAAAAACAGCCAAAGGAAAAAAATTAAAGCACAAAGCTTGAGGACTGGAAACGTGGGCCTTCATAGACTGCAAAACAGCTTGTTATAATGCAAGAGAAAGAAAGCAAATCCTGTGCTTATTTTCACAGCACAACTCTATGTATACAGTATATTGTTCCCCTTTCTTGCAGCATCTGATGTCCCAAGTCTGTGGGACACATTGTGGCAAGGATGCTCTATAACATATAGGGATGGGGAATGCACAGCCCTCAAGTGAAAGCTGGAATGCAACTTTCAATATCTTTTACCACTGACAATGCTGAACAGAGCTAGTGGGAGGCATTATCCAAAAACATCTAAAGGACTATGTTTTCTTCAAATCTGTTTCTAGAAAAACAAGGCAGAGGTTTTATCTCAGAAGCCTCCTAATTAGTATTTTTTAACCCTTTATGTTTGCCCAGTCAGGAAAAAAGTTTGATTATGTGGTTCATTTTCTTTCTAATGTGTCAAAGGGCAGGTATGTGAGGTATTTTTATACAACTGTTATGCCAGTGCACCTGAGACGTTATCCATACAAAGGACCAAGTCTCCCAAGAAGTTGCAAGGGTCCTCTCCTACAGTTTATAATTAGTGGGTGTGTTTTGATGATTACATGACCTGGATGAACATATTTCTGTCATATATTCATGTTATACGTCTATTATATATTCATATACAGTAATGCTTCTGTGACCAACCTGGATGTTCTGAATCTGGCATAAAGGACAGCATGAATTTCCAGAGAGTCTTATAGGAAGTTGGGACTATATCTAGCATGAGCAAGATTTAAATTAAAAAATCCCAAACTTTAGTCTAACTGGAATTACTGCTTGCCTGCTATTTCATCTGCTCATGAAAATGTTATTGCTTTGGAAATCTCAAAATTCTTTCTGAGAGTGTGTAGTGACTAGACATACATTTCTTTGAAAGACCTCAGGAGTGTATAAATGTGCTGTTTTCAAAAAATCATTCTTTCACCTAGTTCAAATTAAAACAGTTTTCACACATTTAGGAAGATGCTTTAAACCAGGCCTGTCCAACCCACGGCCCGAGAGCCGCATGCGGCCCAGGTCAGCTCGTAATGCGGCCCAGTGCAATTTTTTATTTTTAAAGAAATTCCAAAGTTTCAAGTTACACTGCCGGCGCTTGCAGCTGGAATGTGGCCGGGGCATGTCACAACAGTAGAGGGGGAGAGAGGGAAGGAAGGAGTGGGAGGGGATGGGACAGGGGGGGCTGCGTGACTGCATTGCGCCATCCCCGTCAATAGGTGGACCCCTCCCGGCCCCATAAAGCCATCGGAGTCAAAGCTGGCAGCCTCTGGAACCTCAAAATTCTTTCTGAGAGTCCGTAGTGACTAGACATACATTTGTTTGAAAGACCTCAGGAATGTATAAATGTGCTGTTTTCAAAAAAATCATTCTTTCACCCAGTTCAAATTAAAACAGTTTTCACAAATTTAGGAAGATGCTTTAAAGTTAAACCAAATCTAGAGATGGGAAAAGTTACTCTGGAGGACTACAGCCTCTAACAATCTCCCAAATAGCAGAGCCAAATAGTTTCTCCATGTCAGACTATATTTCAAAATGCCCAATGTTGTTTGCTTTGAATCAAAGCAACACTTTACCAACTTGGGCAGTTGTTATTTCTTTTAAATGGAAATGGCAGGGGCTGAGCCAGGGTATGTCCATATGCGAAGCATGTGCTCGAACACAGAGGTATGGGCCCCAACTTCTAACAGATTAGAAACATTTCTTTTTCCTCAATTAAAACAGGAAGCATGCTACATTAAGAACTAGAAACAGTTAGCACTAGAAGGTAGCAGAAGGCATTGACCAATCATAGAAGAGTCTGGGTTTCTACACAAGCCAATGATCTGGATGTGTCTCCTGATTAGAGGGAAGAAAGTCCTGACCAAGAACATGCAGATAGCCTTTAAAAAATCCCCACAACCCATCCAAGAGTAAATAATATACCATGTGGTTAATTGTGAGGGATTAAATAAATTAATCGAACTTGAACCAGTGCAGAAAGAAACTTTACATCATAAACTACCTATTTTTCTGTGTATAAAACAGGACTTTTTACTTAAATAATTAGACCAAAAATTGAGGGTTGTTTTATACATGGCAGGCAGCCGCTTTCCCTGCCTTTCGCGAAGCCACAGAGTAAAGCAACCGTGAAAGGTCAGCGCAGTCACACCCATTTGATCCTGAAGCACCCAGAAAAGGGTGTCAGGATCAAAGGGGTATGAGCGTGCTGCCCTTTCATGGCTGCATTACCCATTTCATAAGCTTCACAGGGCATAGGATGTGGGAAACACAGCCAGGAAAGGGCGGGAGGATCAAAGGGGCGCGAGCGTGCAAATTTTCTAATTTGGGGGTTAGAAAGGGGGGGTCTTATACTTTGGGTCATCTTGTAAACGAAAAAATAGGGTAAAAGAAAGCAGAGCCACAGAATTATTTCATGTGTACAGAGGAGGATGCTGAAAGCCTGGTCCATGATCAAGCAGTCTCGGGCCAACAAGAGCTGTAAGATTAATTCAGATTTCATAGCATGCTAGTAATTCTTTCAGTATGTGTAACAGTAGGCTCTGGTACATACTATGACTAACACACTATATTTTTCTCTGTTCAAATTCTGAAGAATTTTCAATCAGCAGCAGCATCACAATTATCTTAGAAAAGCAGAGCTGGAAGGGGCCCAATGAATCACTGAGTCCGGCCTCTGTCAAGGAGGCACAGTGAGGAATTGAACTCCCAACCTCTGGTTCCACCGCCATATAACTAAACCAATGAGCTATTCAGCAGTTCTTACTTCACCTTTTTGCATTTTCTGCAGATTTATGTTCTCTTTCTAGACATGTACATATAAACACCCACACACTTGTGGAAAAATTAAAATTCTTAACACTTCTTTCACCCTCTCCATTGCCTTAATAGAAATTCAACATTTTAAGTATACTTTTTTCATTTATCTTCTAGTCTTTCTTCTCTAATTCTTCACGAATTCTTTCCTAAGTAGTAGCAAGCAAATATACTGTCTGAATTATCTGGCACATTATACAACACTTTTCAATTAACAGCAAACGTCAAGTCTACTTTGAAATGTTAAGGGATTCTTATCTAGACACCCAACAATCTTCTCTAAACACCATTATCCAAAATGCTTCACCCATTACATGAACAAGTAAATCAAAACAGGCTCAGGTTCCTTTCCCTTACAGATTTCTTAAGGTCAATATTCATGTTTTTGTCAATAGGAGCTGAAAGCTAAGAAACGAAGATAGTATTTATATGGTACCTGATTAGAGTAATCCTCAAGCTTCTGAACTAAACTGTCCCACCTCTGTGTGAGTTCTTCCAGATCACTGTCAATTTTCTTCAATGCCTTCTTGCTGTTAAGGAGCTGTGTGACATCTTGGGCCATCTCATTTAGCTGCTCTAATGTCTGTCGTTTAATTCCCATGTCTTCTTTCAGGATCTGATGGTTAATAGGGTAACAAGGTAATTTTGTTAAAGAAAAAGAGGAACATGAGAAAACTGGTGCATATATTTTTGTAGCAAGGGTCCTGCTTCACTTAGCTGTTGGGAACTTCATTACTGAACCACAGTTTTGCTTCACTACAGGACCGTGCCTTTTCACATTTGGATAGATGAAAGCTGTGGCTGCTTGATAACTCAGGAAAGCTTGAGATCATGAGGTGTACATATATTATGCTCCATCACACATTCTGGAGCAATTCACTACTCCTTGAAGATACTTCCTACTCTACACTCTGGAGCAACTCAGTACTCCTTGAAGATACTTCCTACTCTACACTTTCTTCCTGCCTCTTTAACAGAAACCTAATATCCACATGGAAGGGATGTGGTGGCGCTGTGGGTTAAACCACAGAAGCTTCTGTGCTGCAAGGTCGGAAGACCAGCAGTCATAAGATGAATCCACACGACGGAGTGAGCTCCCGTCGCTTGTCCCAGCTCCTGCTAACCTAGCAGTTCGAAAGCATGCAAATGCAAGTACAGTGGTGACTCACATGACGACGTTAATTCATTCCGCAAAAAAGGGATGTGGTGGCGCTGTGGGTTAAACCACAGAAGCTTCTGTGCTGCAAGGTCGGAAGACCAGCAGTCATAAGATGAATCCACACGACGGAGTGAGCTCCCGTCGCTTGTCCCAGCTCCTGCTAACCTAGCAGTTCGAAAGCATGCAAATGCAAGTACAGTGGTGACTCACATGACGACGTTAATTCATTCCGCAAAAATCGCTGTTGATGCCTCGCATGACGGCGTTAATTCGTTCCGCAAAAATCGCTGTTGAACTAACCGTCGTCTTGTGATTTTAAAAAGCCCATAGAAACGCATAAAAACCCAATTAATGCGTTCCTATGGGCTTAAAACTCACCGTCCAGCAAAGATTCTCCATAACGTGGCCATTTTCGCTGCCCGTGCAGTGAGGAATCCGTGCCAGAAAACAGCGGGCAGCCATGTTTTTCACCCGGCGGCCATTTTGAAACCGCTGATCAGCTAGCCGAAAATCATCGCTTTGCGATGATCGGTTACCAAAACAGGGAACTGATCATCGCAAAGCAAAATTCCCCCAGAGGGAACATCGTTTTGCCATTGCTTTTCGATCACAAAATCTTCAATGTAATGTGATTTCATCATCATACGGAGCGCTCGTAAAGCGAGGCACCACTGTAGATAAATAGGTACCAACACGGTGGGAAGGTAACGGTGTTCCATGTCTAGTTGCGCTGGCCATGTGACTGTGGAAACTGTCTACGGACAAACGCTGGCTCTACGGCTTGGAAACGGGGATGAGCACTGCCCCCTAGAGTCGGACACGACTGGACTAAATGTCAAGGGGAACCTTTACCTTTTTAATATCAACATAAGTGCATCTTGGCCTGTTGCAATCATGCTTCCTTTTCTGAAATAACTGTTTACACTTTGTACCCTTATCTAGGATACTTGCCTGCATTGACCATGTCTTTTGCAAATGTCTGAGGGTCTTGTAATTTTCATACTGCATTCCTTGGTTAGAGACTAAACTCAAGAGAATTTTCCCATGTCTTCAAAAAGTAATTTAAGAACTTGCTGGACCATGAAATTAGTACAAGGATGGGACAAAGATGATCCTTCAGCACTACAGAGATGGCAAGTTGGCACTAGGACAAATATTCAGGATTATGAGGGTAGCTTGGAATGTAAAGCAAGTAATACTCACTGTCAGCTTTCGAACACTCGTGCCAAGCTCTTTTTGATCTTTGAAATTGCTTGTTTGCACTTTGTTCAGAGCCTCCTCTTTTTCAATTAGCCAGGCCTTCAATAAGCACTACAGAAAGAGAAGAAAATACACCAGAGGGAGAATATTTTACACAACTCTCCTGCAATTAGTTAATCACTACCATCATCACAGTACATTAATTCCAACACTACCTTGGAATCACTTCAATGTTTTGGTCCATTTTGCTGGCATTCGCTACAGTAAAGCTACAGTAAAAGGCTGTCTTTTGTTTCTCAACACAATGTGTCCCACACACTCAAACTGGTAGGAGCAGTTTTGTAGCCAGAGTTTTATGTGGGATGTCATCTACAAGCTCTGTTGCTAGAAATTCATACACCAACATGCTAAAATTAAATCCAGTCAATACTAGAAGCTCTCTATAAGCTCACAGTTGACTAATGTACCAAAATAATACAAAGAATTGCAAATAACACCAGGGAAATCCAGACAGATTTTTCCAAGCAGAATTTAATTCCAGAACTAAATGTCCGAATTTCTACATTTATATTTAGTTCATTGAAAGCCCCCTATTCAGAAGGTCATGCCTGTCTCATCCTCTATTCCAGCAGGAAACCTTATTTTCCCTTAGATAATTAACATAAAAGCAAACCTATCCAAACCATGGTCTTTAGTCCACTAACCAGGCCTTAAAGCACCCCAATAATATATAAACTATTAGTGCATTTGGCAGGGCTGAACTGTTTTCTTATAATTTCAGTCCCTAGAATAGGTAGAAATTATACTCCTGATGAAAGATTAAATCAAATTACAGAAGTGAATTAGGATGTGACACTGCACACTCCTGTTAAAGATAATGCACCTTTTTTCAGATGTTTCCAACCCACACTTGTCAACTTGGATCATTGGTATTTGTTAACGTTACTATCAAAAGTTCCTTCCTTAAAAGGAAAAGCTATAATCACTACTGGTTAAAAAAAAAACATCAGGGACTGAAATAATCTCTTGAATCACCATCATTATAATTACCAACATAATCTTAGAACTGCACAACTGGAAGGGACCCTATGGATCATTAAGTCCATCCCCTGTCAAAGAGGCACACTGGGACATTTGCTAACATTAGCTACAGAAGCTAAAGAGGCAACTCCCAACTTCTGGCTCCACAACCAGATTACTAAACCACTACGCTATGATTTGGTATACTCTGATTTTGCAAGAACATCAACATTAACCACACCTTCTGGGAGATCATTGCTTCTTTTTCCATTTAACCGATAAAATTGGAATTACTTTTCCAACTACCACATAAGTTTTTTTTAAAAAAAATCTACAGTATACTGTTAACTCATTATATGATTAACAAACTTTAATTCTGACATTGAGAAACTTGGCAGAGGATTCCAACAATTCAATAGAGGAAAAGAGTACCAATAGCTCATGATCATGATGATATATATACTCCAGGTTCTATGTTTCACTGCTGCTTATTTATAAACTGCCACTATTAAATGTATCTTCATATGTAATTTGTAGCCTTTTTAAAATATGAACTGCATCATACCCAGGTTATCTGGAATGGAGGTAGGATTTACAGTATTTGTTTCTTTTTCTCATGTGGTTATCTCAATCTTATGCTTCCTTAGGGAAGAGAGGCACCCTCTTATTAACATCAATGGGGGAGCCTTCTTGCTGATGCAGAAGGTTGTAAAGGTAGCTGTCCTGACCATAAAGTATATTCCAAAATCCATACTGGGATAATATCTTTATTAGGCAATGAAAAAGACACCAAAAGTATGTACCGTATTTTTTCGTTTATAAGATGATACTTTTATCTAAAATCTTTAGACTAAAAACTGAGGGTCGCCTAATAAATGGAAGTAAGGGGGAAGCGCTGCAGGATCACAGCTGCTTTCCCCCTCCACTTTCTAAGCCCCGCATGGCTTAGGAAGTGGAGGGGAAAGCAGCGATCAAATTTTCTAATTTGGGGTTAGAAAAGTGGGTGTTGTCTTCTACATTGGGTCATCTTACACACAGAAAAATATGGTAAGTTTTCTGAGATCTCTTCATCAGGCAGGATGTTACAACCACAGGAGGCGAAAAGGCTTGATCTTAAAGCCATTGAATCTGTGTGATATCATGACATACAAGGGAGAAAGAAGGTTCTATAAACATTCAGATGGGGTTTATAGAGTAGCCCACAGATTTGCTGGAATGGGAAAGACAGAAAGTTTTAGCAACCCATATTATAAGCAGTCTTATAATATGGAGTCTTTTAATTATTAAGTCAAAGGGAAATACTATCTCTCTATTCCTGCTCTGATCTCATTAATTTTCAGCCATCCTTTAATTGTTACCATTTGCATTTTAAAAAAAAATACTACATATGAAATACAAAGATACATTTGATTTCAAGCCTAGTTTGGCCCCAAGTAGCACTTGCTCAGAACAACAGCAGGATAAATTATTGCTTTCATGCCTCCTTTGTGGGCTTCCCAGAAGCTTCTGATTGATAATGGCTAAAAAGAAAGATACTACACTACATGTTCCACTGTCTGATCCAGGAGGACTCAAACATTTTTATTTACTCATTCTCAGAGCTTGTGCGAGAGATGGGCAACTCTACATGCTAAAGGGAAACTGAAATCAATGGACCCAATCACTCCTTCAACTCTATCCAATAAACTGCTACTTGAAATCAGAAGAAATAAAAATCATCAGGTAGCCTTTGGCAGCTCATTAAGCCCAACACAACTGACAAAACTATAATGCCACCCCAAGCTCTTTCAGAAGAGAAATTGAACTAACACACAGATTCAGGACAAAGCCACATATGAGACAGGCCAGGCTTGAAAAGTGTGAAAAGCAGATATAACCTTCACCCAAAGCACCCCTGTAACTTTCTCCTATATACCCACTGCCTTCTATGGTGAACAAAAACAATGCCTTTGCTGATACCGTTTCAGAAAGAGCAAAACCTGTTCTTCACAGTCCCCACAGACAGATCTCTCTAATTAGGGTGCCATCACTACATGGCAAAGGAGGTCAAATTCATTTGGATCACAGCAGAACTACACAGCCGCCCAGAGACCTTTGTGTAGTGTGGGCAGCATATAAGTTAAATAAATAAATAAATTACATGGATCAACCCCATTCCAAAATGACTATCAAATACATATGCAAGTTTAATTTTTGAACTTCTCTGAACTTTTCCATTGAAAGTTCAAAATTCATACTGTACATTAGAGGAAACTGCACATGTAAAAACATATATTAGGAGGAAATGTTTGCAAAAACATGTATAGTAGAAGAAACCGTTTACACAAATTAATAGAAATTAAGCTTTTTTTAAAAAAATTCACAAACAAATGTCTCAAAGCAAAGTAGCATGAATATACATTTTGGAGGAAAGGTGTGTATTACAGAAATGAAAACAACAGATTACTTGTGCTATTAGTTTTATTGTATCCTCTTATATTTATATCACATTTGAAAGTTGATGAATTCAGCTGTACTTGGTCAAAATGCAGTTGTAGCAGGACCAAGAGTGTATACAGAAGAGCCAATGATCACATAGATACAGTGTTGCCTACTTACAGAGATGGGCTGATATTACTCTGTTCAACGCTTCTGTTATCTTAAACCAAAATATAATCCTATGTTTATCCAGTAATTTACAAGCCACTGTTTATATCTAACAACCTGATTTATACTTTGGGAGAGAAGCAAGCAAATTGCTGTCTACCACTCTCCACTCAACTAGACAACCAATTACAGTGGTGCCTCGCTTAATGATGTTAATTGGTTAAAAAAAAAAACCACCACTATGGGAAAACATCGCTAGGCGAAACACCATTTCCCATAGGAATGCATTGAAAACTGGTTAACCCATTCCAATGGGAACAGATTGCCGTCCTTAAGTGAAAATCGCCATAGGAAACATCGCTAAGCGAAACAATGTTTCCCCCATTGGAATGTATTGAAGCCTATTCAATGCATTCCAATGGTTTTGTGATGTCCGTTTTCGCTATTTTTAAAGTGTCCTAAAATGTTCAAAAACTTTTTTAAATGCTTGGAATCGTTAGTGCACCCTGTAAAACCTTTGCAAACTTAATTTGGCTTTGTTCTGACTCTTCATTAATTTTTGGTGAATTTTTTTCTCCCCCATTGGAATGCATTGAACTGCAGGTTTGACTGTCAAAGCTACAGTTCAATGCATTCCAATGGGGGAGAAAGAAATTCACCAAAAATTAACGAAGAGTCAGAACAAAGCTAAATTAAGTTTGCAAAGGTTTTACAAGGTGCACTAACGATTCCAAGCATTTAAAACAGTTTTTGAACATTTTAAGACATTTTTAAATTAGCGAAAATGGACACTGTTAAGCGAAACAGGGGGGCCTAAACTGTCATCGCTAAGCGAAGCAAGGTCCCGAAATCGCTAAGCGAAAATCGCCCATAGAGAACATCGTTAAACGATGCTGAAAATTCCTTTAAAAACCCATCGCTAAGCGAATACATCGTTAAATGAGGCAATCGCTAAGAGAGGCACCACTGTACTGGCAACAAACAAGACCAAAGTCTTTAGCAGCTAATGTACTGCACCCTGATCTTACAAATCATCCTTAACAAATTATAATTATTTAACACACCTGGAAGGGAGGAATTTCATACTACACAGACAAATACACTTCTTTTTCTTCAATTTTAAAAAAATTACAAAAACAGCAAATGTTATTCAAACACTTCCACAAGCATCGTTCGGAGAGTTCATTCCCTGAAGCAAATTACTGCACGAATCAAGGACTCTTTCACATGTACAAATAAAAGTGTGCCAACTCAGGCCACGACATGAGTGCATTTCTAAGTAGCAGCAGCTGACAACCAGCCAGAGGCAATGTAAATTCCACCATCTCAAGAATCACAAGTTGGTCAAATGACAGATATATATGACAGCTTTTTTAAAAAAAAAATGTAAAAGAAATACAATTTATTAAAGAATGCTTATATATCTTCTTATACATTTCTGAAACACTGACATTCCTCCTAAGCTATCTTGACAAACAAGACAAAAAGTCTCCCATTTTTTTGTCTACTTCTGAAAACTCACAATGTCTTCACAGTCTCTCTTTTGAACCAAAATAACTTTTTAAAATCCCCTTTGACCAAGTAGTACAGATCATTTTGATTTAAATATAAAATGTAGTTTTGTTTCACTTTACAATCTTCATTATAATGCTCATGCAACAGAAATTTATTTGAGACAGGATATTATTTCTCACTAAGATTTGTTGAGAACATAAGCAAAGAATACTAATTGGTAGTATTTCTCTTTTCAGGAAATGGATCACTACAGCTCACTCTACATGTACCCTAACTTGACTCTGGACAATACAGAAGGCTAAATTTAGCTTTATTTCTTTTAAAAAAATAAAAGTTTAACTTCAAAAGAAAATCAATGTGTCTTTTAAATATCTTTGGTTAAGAATACCAGGAAATTTTGCTAAGGCACTGCTTTTAGAAAATGATGCATATAAAAGGTTTTAAGTTTTAGCCAAGTAGACTGAAATAGCAAAGATATGCATTGAATAAAATAAAGACACTTCACCTGCTCTTCCAACAGTTCTTGCCATAAAATATTAATATCCTGCATTTTGAGCCATCGTTCCTCAGTCCAGCGACAGACCGCTGTCCAACGTTCACCAAGCCTCTGAAAAAATAAATCAAACTTTTGAACAACTGTTGAATCATTTTATTGGCACAGCAGTATCTACAATCTGATCGTCAATGTATTATGTACAATCATAAAGTGCCATGCCACACACTCACCTGCAGTTGTTCTTCCAGGACAGCTGTGGCGCTCTCACCACCGTTTTCATCAACAATGACCACCATGTGAGTCAATGAATTTACTTTAACCTGCTCTGCTTCGAGGTCATTTTGCAGTACCTAAAAGTTATAAAGGCCAAAACATGACACTGTGTTCATCCTTTAGCCAACTGTATACACTATCTTTTGTTTAAGCAACTGTTTTCCTAATGAGCCAAGGCACTCTGCCCATACACAATCACCCTAAACTCTCAATATGTTTCTAGGTGCTAATTATAAGAGCATATCCCCTTATAACAAGACATACAGAAATGATATTAATTTCTCTGGTCAGCATGTGATTAGAGACAAGCAGACAGTGGGCCAAATCCAGTCATTTTGGAAGCACTTGTGGAAACTGAAGAGAAGCTCAGACTGTAAAATGCACAGCAATTTTCAATAAATTAAAGTAACTAACAATATACATATAATGAACAAGTCATTTTGAATAATTACTTTTCAACTGTTCAAAACACATCAAGATCGGCAGTCCCTCAAAAAAATTCTTCCCTCTCTTTGAGCCTTTACTTTTCAATTAGGCTAAAATATTTTCATTAATATCACCTTATCTTTGATCATGGTTCAAGGGACAAGTTTCACTCTCATTCCACACAGTGAGCATTAAAGAAAATGCTTATTTGTAATTTAGGAATGGGACAATGGGGGAAATTACACATTTGCTGAAATCCTGTTGCTTGGCATAATAAGCTGCACTAGAACAGACCCACTGAATCAACAGGGATTTGTTGAGCCTCCTCCCCTTTAAGTTCCACTGATTCAAATGAGCATACTATAACTATGACTTTCTCTAGCATAGTAAGTCACAGTTAGAGTAGGCCTATTTGAATAAATGGAACTTACAGAGGAGTTGATTCAACAAATCCCTATTGATTCAAGTACCAGGATTTTGTCCTCTCTCTGCAGCAAATCTTAACTAGCAGGAAAATATAGTTTTGCCAAACAAAAAACTTTCTCAAAAGTAGGTAAAACGCATCCACTAGAACAGTGGTTCTTAACCTTTGTTACTCGGATGCTTTTGAACTGCAACTCCCAGAAACCCCAGCCAGCACAGCTGGTGGTGAAGGCTTCTGGGAGTTGCAGTCCAAAACTCCTGAGTAACCCAAGGTTAAGAACCAGTGCACTGTGACTAGAACAAACTGAATATGGAATGCACAAAACAAGATCAATATATAAAAAATATTTCATGCTGTGTCGTACTATGTGCTTGACTCTAAAATAACATTACATAGAAGCACACAAGGAAATCCAAAACTTATTGGAAAAGACAAGTTTCTCTATCAACATGTTCACAACATATACAGTGAAGAAAACTGAACTTCTACAAATATTTATTTCCTATTATGTGTGGTATAAAAGAGGTTAAAAATACTTTATGTTCCTCCATCTGCTGTTGAAATGTCTCCAAGTCTTCCACTGAGCACTGAGATTCCATCTTTTCAATGCGTTCTTCTGTCACACTCAGCCAGCCGGACAGCTGCTGCAGTTGTTTCTTCTGTAGCTCCATCAATACATCATGGAGGCTGCCCATGGCAAAAAAACACACCATGAGTTATTTCAATGCCACGCTCAAAAGGAAACTGGCATAAAAACAGCAATGCAACCCAGTGCATATTTATTCAGACGTGAGCTCCACTGTGTTCAGGGAAACCTCCTAAGGTTGGTGTAAAATAAGCTGCACCAAGCTAAAAGGAATATACAAGTGAGCAGACGTGTATAGACTTGTGGTGTAAGTGCATCAGCATAAGGAAGGCTGTATAAGGAGGCTAAAAGCCTAGCCATATCCAGTAAAAAGTCATTTCCACTGAATTCAATGGCACCTACATCCAAGTAACCATGAATAGGACTGAACTGCATTTGTGCGCATAAAAACTGAAAATGTCTGAGCATTCGTGATATTACTATCACAACACATTCTTCCTCTGTACACAGTTCTCCAACACCAAATTTGCTCCACAAGTTGAGGAACCCCAAAGAAGGGGAGGGGAGGGGGATGTGAGAGAAGAGGAAGGGATGTCAGAAATACAGCTGCACAATGCTGGAAGGCATCCTGTGTCATTTTTAAAAAAAATACTTAATTTGATCACCAATTAAAAGCGCATTGCTTTCATTACTTTTTGTAGAGAACAGTGCCATCAGGAACTGCCCTAATTCAAGTTCTTTCTAAGATACATATGGAAAACATTTGGCAATCCAGAATGGGAATGGATTTTCTTCCAAGGTCAAACTGCCTCATAATCCAAAAACTCTTTTTTTCCCTTCTGCACCCCCCACCAAATTTATGTCCCTTGGCCCTGATACTTAAGCCATCTTGCATACTATGTTGCCCTTGTCTTTGCCAATGTCTTTGTGAGCCTGAGATATCTGCCTACTATGCGGAGAATGTTAGCTCCACGCCAGGGGTTTCAGAGTGTTCTGGTCTACTTGCTATGCTTCTGTATCACTAATGTGTAAGAGCAAGCTCTTACATTTTCTTCTACCATAGCTGTTCCTGGCATCAGATTCCAGTTTAAGAGACAGACAGCTGAGAGATTCAGTTGATAGCAGCACAACTCAGAGAATCTCAGTCAGAACAGGCCCTTGTATTATTATGTACAAAAGCATTTAGTTCTTCCATAACAGATTTTATTCAGAAACTAAAACCAGTAGTCAATTGAGATTCTGCTGAACGGGCAGCTCAATCCTCTCATGCCGCCGCCAAGCCAAAAAGAGATCAAGTTTAAGAAAGTTGGCACTTGCATAACACTAGCCAGAGAGGGGGCTTTCTGAGATCCAGTGATCTAAATCAGTGGTCCTCAATGTTGGGCCTCCAGATGTTGTTGAACTACAACTCCCAGAAGCCTTCGCCACCACCTCTGCTGGCCAGGATTTCTGGGAGTTGAAGTCCATGAACATCTGGAGGCCCAAGGTTCGGGACCACTGATCTAAATGGAATGAAAACCCTATACTGCCATACTGTACATCACAAGATCCCAGCACAGCCCTAATGCCACTTACCACAACATTTTCTATTATTTTTTCTGGATCTACACAAGCCCCATCCTACCCATAAGCCAGGGTGGTGCATTGCTTATCTTAATCGTATCAACAGATTTTATTCAGAAAGGTGAGCATCCTACTAAGCTTTCACTGAGCAGAAAGCCTCACCAGCACAGTAATGGCAGGTACTTGTTTTCCTCATGGAGATAATCACTTGCGCAACATCCACATCTGCATGAGCAGTGGCATCCTGCATTACCACACTTGGTCAAAGCCCCATAGGATACCAGCTTAACAGTAACTATCTTTTAGAAGAACGCATACCCATATACGAAACTTAGTAACTGAAACACCACATTTTCAGAAAACAAACCACATATTTAACATTGGTGTTCCAAGCAAGGAACAATGTGGTATTCGATCTTCTCTTTGCTGAGCTCATGCAGATCCATCTCCAAGAAAATGAATTTAGTACTGTGATATATTACATTTACTTAAAATTTTCTGTTCAAGACATGGGGGTGGGGTTGACATGTATTCTTATAACAAGAACATCATTACTTGTGTGTTAAGCATGGCACTCACTGTGACTGTCGATCCATACTTTCCACTCTGAGAGCCTCCCATCTAGAATTCAGCAAGGTCATTTGTTCTTGAATTTCACTTTCCTCCTCCTCTGACAAATTGCCCTGGGCTATTAATTGATTGCCAGCCTGAAGCACACTACCCACACTACTCTGGTGTGCAGTCAACTCCATCATAAAAGCCTAAGAAAAAGTTCATAAGATCAGATCAATAATAGCTACATGGAATTTTAAAGCATTCTAATAAATAGATATATTTATTTACCTTGCAACATGGGGAAAAAATAAGCTGGAAACCTCAAAGACACAAGCCCTTGCCACCATAAAACTTCACAAAAACACAAAGGACTTTTTGTTCTTAAATACAATTATTTGTCTATGGCTGAGGCATCCTTAAGGCTTTGTTTTGAGAATGGCAGCCACAAATGTGGAATAATAAATTGCTTTTGAAACTCACTGCCAAAGTAGACATGAGATTAATCATACCATTAGCCCTTGCCTGCTTGTTTTTCTTTTTTTTTAAATCACCAGTGTTTCTGATACACATCAGGAAACTTCAACTTTTTGCTCACATCACAACCCAAAACAAGAATGGCCCCCCCTTGATCCTGAAGCCATTATTTACCTCAGAAGAAGAATGCACATTGAATTCCTCCTGTAGCAAATACTAGCCTCAGTGGATCTGATCCAAATTGATACCATGGGGGAGCAAAACTTTTAGACAGCTTTTCCCCACATATCACAATCTCTATCCAAATTAGTCTCATCATAAAACTGCAAGTTAGGAAACAACAGATCTGTACACAAGGACCGATCACATTATTATCATCATGTGTCAGAGTCTGGGTAAGGGGTGAAAGTGTGCACATGAAAAAAAAATCACACTGTGAATGCCCAAGAGGTATAGTAAATCTCTGAATGCTGCTGGCAGTCATTGCCATTTGGGGACTTTGACTGCAATAATGTGATAATACCCAAAGAAAGGAAAGGCCACTAAATGGAAACTGTATTAAATCAGCTTCCAAGTAGTAGGGATACTTTAGACACCAATTCTAAGCAGCACCTAATGAACAAAGAATGATCTTTCCAAAGACATATATGACATGGAAGGGAAAGTTTGCTGTAACAGGTATGTGTGTTCTGGGCCGTCAAGTCAAAACCGACTTAGAGTGACCCTAACAGGATTTTCAAAGTGAGAGAGATATTTAAGGAGTTGTTTTACCAGTTTCACCTCCCAGTGAGTTTCGAATGTTATTAGTAAAATGCTGCCTTTCAACAAATTCAGCACAAGATTATAAACACATCATTTTAGCCAGTGTTCCTTTTCTTTTTAAAAAACGCACTACCAACAAAAATATTTTGAGACAATCTTCATTCAAGGTTGTGCAAACCCTGTTTCTACTCCAAATGTACACTGCAATTCCAAGTAGATGTCTTAAGTCCTGTGCACTGCAGGAAATCCGGAGTAAGATCCTCTCCAGTAAGTGACTGCCCAGCCCCTGCTTCAAGACCACCAATGAGAGCAGAATGCACTTCTTTATTCATGCCTGCTTCTTCATGTGAAAGCTGGACACATCATTTTAAAGAGGGTAAATGAAAACAGGAAGCTATCTGAATACAAAGTCACATCATTAGTCCCTCTAGAGTCTAGACCAAGAACTGTCAACTCTGATTAGCAGGGGCTCCCCAGGGTTTCAGGCTGAATTCTTTTTCTAGCCTTACCTGGAGATCTGGTGGTCTCCCATTTAATTGCCAAGCCTGATCTTGCTTAGCTGCTGAATTCAGACAGGACTGGGCATGTTCAGGATGGCATGCTTGTGATATTTTTTAAAGGAGGGAGGCTTCCTTTACCTTTACTTTACTATTGTGCAAAAGAAGGAATTTCACTAGGTAAAACTTCTGCAAAAAAACATAAACCAGAATTTCCCCTGCCCCTCCATACAACTATTAATGGTACAGGAACCCTGTTCTTTTTTGCATTTGGTCAAGGTAATCATGGTACAAAATTTATTGTACAACTACTGAACCACCACACAGATACACAAAGACCCCAAATACCCACTTCATGTGTAGCAAATTGTTCCTTAACTTCCTCAACATCATCAGATATGTCTTCCTGCTCCTGAAAGGTGTCCTCAGCAGAAAGCAGCCATGTGAGAACTTCTTCCAGAGCAACTTGGTAGCTATCCAAATCCATATCCACTTCTGTCACCGTGCTGGGGGTTTCTGCTCTGGAACCTCCATAGTCCTCTTCGGATGTTGCACTCTGAGAAAGCAAAGCAAAAAAGTGTGCTGCTTATATACCACCCCATAGCGCTTCAAGCACTCTCTGGGCGGTTTACAATTTAATTATGCAGGCTACACATTGCCCCCCCAGCGAGCTGGGTACTCATTTTACCGACCTCGGAAGGATAGAGCGCTGAGTCAACCTTGAGCCGGCTACCTGGGATTTGAACCCCAGGTCGTGAGCACAGTTTTAGCTGCAGTACAGCGGTTTAACCACTGCACCACGAGGCTCAGAAACATCTGACTGAGGGCTCAGAAACATCTGACTGAGGTCCACTTCTTACATCCTCAAGCACAAATCTTACATATAGGACGTAGGGCAGGGGCATATACTGTGACACCTATTGCAAACAGTAACAGGAGCCTTCCCCTGTGTCAAATTTATGCTGTACGTGAATCAGTTAAAATGGTTATGTGTCAGTTTCTATGAAAGGCAAACAGTTTTAGTAAATACAAGTTTTGCTAAAAACTTATACATCTGCCAACAATTAAGGCCTCAGCTGTTGATAATAGACCTTACAGAGATGCCCCCAGAGTCCTATGATGCTCGGATTGACTAAGGTGCATGTGCTTTGATCTAGGACAGTGAAATAGAAGGAAACTGTACTGCAGATGTAACACTGCTTCCAATTTTCAGGATTCCATATCACTACTTTTCAAATGTTTTTCAAATGTATAATTATAGGCAAAAATACATTTAAACTCTGTTGAAGAACCATCTGAGAGTAAGACTGTCAGATCTATGTTACAAGCATAGAAATGCTAAATTTATAACCACTAAAATTAACGTTAAATCAAAAAAACAAAAATGTAGGAAACCCTTTATCCTTAATATGATCTCATATAAATATATATTTATAATTTTAAGGGGGAGTATCTGTACTCTGGATACATAAAGGCAGGGGCATCTGAAACTTGTTCTTGCTGTTATGTTGCATACAGTCACTCTGACTTATGGCAACTCTTTAAATTAACAACTTCCACAATGTCTTGTCATAAGGAGCCCTTGCAAACTCAAGGCAGTGGCTCCTTTACTGAGTTTATTTATTTTATTTATTTATTTATTTATTTCATTTATACCCCGCCTATCTAGTCAATTGTGACCACTCTAGGCGGCTTACAACATGCATTTAAAGAAAAAACATATAACAAACCACATCACAAATAATAATTTACATAAATTAAGATAGAATAAAAAAAATTTTTCCCCCAAAGATGGCGAGAAATGGGATATATATCAATAAAGCCCTTGGGAAGGAACGAAGGAATGCCTCAAAAAGAGTCCAGTGAGGACTAAGCCCACTCAACGTTCATAAAATGTTGAATGAGTGTCAGCAGGGCAAGAGAGGAAATACAATTGCAAGAAGCTCCAGAGCTAATGAAGTGGTTGGGCCAAAGCTGAAAGGATGTTCAGCTGCGGACGTGCATGGAAGTGAAAGGAAAGACGGATGCTGCAAAGAAAAATACTGCATAGGAACCTGGAATGTAAGATCTATGAACATTGGGAAGCTGGATGTGGTCAAACAGGAGATGGCAAGAATAAACATTGACATCCTGGGCATCAGTGAACTAAAATGGACAGGAATGGGCGAATTCAGCTCAGATGATTATCATATCTACTATTGTGGGCAAGAATCCCGTAGAAGGAATGGAGTAGCCCTCATAGTCAACAAAAGAGTGGGAAAAGCTGTAATGGGATACAATCTCAAAAATGATAGAATGATGTCAATACGAATCCAAGGCAGACCATTCAACATCACAATAATCCAAGTTTATGCACCAACCAGCATTGCTGAGGAGACTGAAATTGAACAATTCTATGAAGACTTACAACACCTTCTAGAACTGACACCAAAGAAAGATGTTCTTCTCATTATAGGGGATTGGAATGTTAAATAGGGAGTCAAGAAATAAAAGGAACAACAGGTACGTTTGGCCAAGGAGTAAAAAAAAAAGCAGGGCAAAGGCTAATAGAGTTTTGTCAAGAGAACAAGGTGGTCATCACAAACACTCTTTTCCAACAACACAAGAGGCGACTCTATACATGGAAATCACCAGATGGGCAATATCGAAATCAGATTGATTATATTCTCTGCAGCCAAAGATGGAGAAGCTATATACAGTCAGCAAAAACAAG